AAATTTCATAAGATTAAACAATGAAATCGACAGATGAAGGTGGTTTGCACGGTTTACACAAATGAGGGCGGTTTTCATATGATAACTCCTCTATATATATATATATATATTACATGTGAATTTGTGTAATTCACATATGAACTATTTTAATTTATTCACTTATAAACTAATTAACAAGTTTACATATGATATCTAGTTCATATGTGTATCACATGAGTTCACATATGAATCTGTTTGCCGTCTATTTGTAAAAATTACGAAACTGCCCCTCTATCTTTCACATACTCATTCGAGGAATTATCCAGTGATTCACGGTCAAGGACGTAAATATTGACCAGATGAAAAATTAAAATCATTTATTTACTTCTCAAATATTTACCAATTATCAAATGAAAACCCCCCATTCCAATTGAAAATTTATTATTTGATATTTTAACTACATGGTTTGTATTGATTAACCTATCATTTAATTTATATAATATAATATTAGAATATTTGACTACTTTTTTTGACATATCTATATTATTTTATAAAGCATTTGACAGAAATTATTTAAAATAATTTTTTATGCATGGTGTACTGTTTATTGATGCGCACTACTTGAAATTCAATATTAAAAGTAAATTGTACGTAAGTACAACTATTTAAAGCTTTATTTTTGAATTTGTGTAACTAACTGCAGATAAACATAATCAAATACAAGATAAATATCTTATTTTAAAAAAAATTAAAATATAATTAAAATAATCATCGAGTTTTAACAAAATCTTAATTATCATCCTTATAAAAATTATATTATTAAACAAAAATAAATTACTTTGTTATTAAATCTAAATTAAATTATAAATAAAAAGTCAAAGTAAAGAGATTACACAGAAAAAGAAAACTTTTAAATAGTTAATTTAATGTTAATATTAATACATTTTTTTCAAATTTATATTTTATTTAAAAATAAAAACATTATAGTTTTCTAAAACTACATAAAACTGTATTATATCGACAGAGAAGATGAATAAAATGAAACATTAAAATGAAGATATATTTCGCTACATTGCACGAGTACCGTTTTAGTGTAAATCAATGTATATAAAAGATGGAAATAAGTATGTTGATATAAATATGGAATAGACGTGTAGGGATATGGCTTCTGACGATTTAGTCAATATAAGATAATCATAAATCGTTTCTTTAATTTATTTCTAGTACATATTGATACATGCAACAAAAACGTATGTTTGTAAAATATGAGATAAATATAAAATCAAGGCGGGGATATACGACATTGAATGTTGAAAATATTTTTCCATTTATTAACAAGGTTGAGAATATTTTCTATTTCTATTTTTTAAGAAGCGTGTGTAATCGGATCATGTTTTTATTTATGGACTTATTCCATATTTAACACCTTTTGATAAATTTAACCCAACCCTGACATTCTTTAGGCAAACATTTTACAGTGACGGTATTTATTACTTCAATTTCAGTTCTATCGATTTGTTTTGACCATTTTTATTACTTATTACACGCAACATGTGTTTGTTAGTCTGTATGTATTCATATACGTGTGTGTGTGTGTGTGTAAAGGTTGAGGATTTAGTTATGATGAGAATGAAAATTATATTGAGAAGATAAGAAGAGATCTTCACTATTGATCAATCATGGTTGAGGATCAGCAATAATGAAATGCACCAGGTCAATTATTGTATGAAACACAATTTATGAGGTGGGGTATGAGATTATAAGTATTAAATAGCTTGACAATATATTCAATGTAAAAAAGAAATTTGAGAAAATATTTCATTTGAATTTAAAAAGATTATAAAATTTTTTTATTTTAACAAAAAATTGTTAAAAATATGGTAATGAAGGAATGAAATTCATTGAAGTTTCACATAGTACTATTTCTCACACGAGCTTAATGCAAATCGATATTTTAACTTTTATGCAAATTTGGTCCTTGTGGTTCATCAAAAATAATATTTTTTGTCTTTACGGTTTCGATATTACAATATGTAATTAATATAATCCGTTAAATAAGGATCATTTTCATCTTTTATTTTTTATTTTGTATCATTTACCTGTCAAAAACAACAATGACCAATAATTAGATTGAGGGTGTATAAGATCCGAACTGTCTAAAATTTGAATCCGAATACGAAGCGAAAATAAGGCGTTTGTATAACATCCGAATGTTCCGGAATCCAAAACTCGATTTCTGAAAGGATCTTTGGGTTGAGATAGCTTGATTTTGGGCAACCCGACCCGTCAAACCCGATATATATATATATATATATATATTTATTTATTTATTTATATAAATATAAATATTTTGATCTTTTAAAATCATAAATCATGGTTGGTCGTACTGTTTTTAATTTATAAACCTACTGTCGATTTCTCAATCCATTGAATATATATATGGAAGGTTCAAACGAGAATACCTTTATTTTACAAGAATGTGAGAACACTTTTTTACTATAGACAATTACATGTGATACTATTATTTCATCACATATGATACACATGTGATACTAAATAAGAGACACGGGCGATTTCTATACGATGTTGGTTGCGGGCCAAGTTGCGCTTACACCACTAAGCTCCCTTACAAGTATTATTATATGAGATAAGGATGTCGTTGATATGATATTATAATCCATCAAAACCATCACATGTGATGCTAAATCATAGACGCAGACAACCATTGGTACGACCTAAATCATAGAACACGTCGTCCACTCATTACAGGGTTCCCTCAAGTATATTATTACATGTGATAAAGGTGTTATCACGTTCTCATAAAATGGAGGTGTTCCCGTTTGAACCTCCACACACGCACACACACACACACACATATATATATATATATATATATATATATATAAGAACTGATTAGTTTGTGGTAACTGTGAGATCCAATCTCAACCACAAATCACCTGATAAATTAGGAAATTAATAATTATGGTAGTTTGAGTTAAAATTATAATTAGAGGGCATTTTAGTTATTTTTAAAAAATTCCTCTCTCCTCTCTCATCTCTCATACCTCCAATCTCCGGCCTCCGGTGAACAAAAATCCGGCAGGTACCAAGTAATCACAAAGGTACACAATGTGATACCATTTGGGTAACACTGTATATCACAATGGGTATCACATATTGTATCTTTGTGATTACTTGGTACCTGCCGGATTTTTGTTCACCGGAGGCCGAAGATTGGAGGTAAGAGAGATGAGAGAGGAGAGAGAAATTTTTTTAAAATAACTAAAATGCCCTCTAATTATAATTTTAACTCAAACTATCATAATTATTAATTTCCTAATTTATCCGTTGATTTGTGGTTGAGATTGTATCTCACAGTTACCACAAACTAATCAGTTTTCATTTGATTAAGCCCCTATATATATATATATATATATATATATATATATATATATATATATATATATAAAGGTTCAAACGATAACCTTTGTGATTTGCGAAAACGCGAAAAGAACCTATTAACCTCATATTGTGATAACAATAAAAATTAAAAGATTTTTAAAATAAAAAATGAAATTAAAAAAAATTCAAAACATTTTGAGAGGCAAAAGGGTAATATTGGAATTTAAAGTAATAAAATTTTAAAAACACGATAACACTAAAACCGATAATCTGGGATAACATAATGGGCTATTATGATCATCGTTTATTTCAACACGATTTGGGTGTGATAATCATGTGATTATCACAAGGATTCCGTCCGGCTAAGGTTAACTTAGGAAATCGACTACACGATTTGATGTGATATATTTGTAATAATCATATGATAATCAACCCCATGAAGGATTACAGTAACATACAATTTCAATTTGGGATGTTTATCATATGTGATGAAATTCAAAATTCTCAATTACAAAACCACTATAACATTAAATTCAAATCAACATGTACCAATAACTATAAATCGACTAAAAATATTGACTTTCACAATTCCATGTACCTTTTATCACATGTGATTAAAAAAACCCATATTATTACAACCCTGGCAATAACACAACCGATTTAAAAAATAAGAGTATGAAATATTATTTGTTATCACACTATTATCGAACATTCATCAGCATCAACAAAACTATCTTAAGACAATTTCAAATTGGGATGTGTTATCACATGCGATAAACATCAAAGTTTCAATTACTAACCAACAACATTCAAACCCTTAATTCTAGGTCGATTTTTTTTTGGATACCATGAATCGATGAGAAGAAAAAGATAGCAGAAAATGGAAATGAAGAAAGTGATACAGTGAACGTGTAAAAATCCCAACAAAAAGGATGAGATAATTATAATTAATAAAAATAAAATAAAATTTATAAAAATACTTGATTACATTACTGCCTTTGTTAACTTATTTATATTTAATATAATTTAAATTATTGATTAAAAAAGTTTGAGATTAGTAGGTTGTTCTCGTAACGAGAACACTTTTATTTTACGAGAAGGCGAGAACATCTTTTACTATAGACAATTACATGTGATACTAAATTAGAGATGCAGACGATTTTCGATGCGATTTTGGTTGCGGGCCAAGTCGCCCTTACACTACTAAGTCCCCTCACAAGTATTATCACATGCGATAAGGATGTTGTTGATATGATACCATAATTCATCAAGGCTATTACATGTAATGCTAAATTATAGACGCAAACAACTTTTAGCGCAACCTAAATCATAGAACACGTTGTCTACACAACACAGAATTCTTTTACACATATTATCACATATAACAAAGATGTTGTCATAAAATAAAGGGTTTCCGTTTAAACATCCACCTATGTATAAAATCAACCCAAAACCTTCGTATTTGAAATACGAGACCGACCTCCCCGGGCGGAGCGCATCCCTAAATTAGATAAAGGGTCGGCGAAGTCGAAAAGCCGGTGGGATTTAAACACGTGGCCGTTGCATTATCCCCAAAGAAAGCCGGTTTCCACCAGAACATTCCAGAGGGAAGGGAAAGAAAAAAAGGGGAACAGACAGAGCCAGAGGAATCGGAAAAGATGAAAGGATCGACAACGGAGACCAAGTTCTTGCAGGAACTGGTGTTGTATGCCGCCAGCGCCGCCCTCAGTTGTCTCGTGCTGTTCGTCGGCCTCAAACATCTTGATCCTAATCGAGAGGCTTCAAAGAAAGCATTGGAACAGAAGAAAGAAATCTCTAAGCGCTTAGGCCGTCCTCTTATCCAAACAAGTCCGTACGAGGTATATAATCGACTATTCTGTAATGATTTACACCTTCGATTTGATTTCAAACATACGTATGGTGCAAGCATAGTCCTAATTTATGAGCGATTGATTTTTACTGGTTTCAACAAGTGCTACTACGGATTAGGGTTATACTGGCGTTAATTTGCGACCTAGTCCATCTCAATTTGGCGATTGGATTGAGATAGCAAAATCAAAGTGCACCTCTTGAAACAAATTAACAAGTATATTAGGGTTTAGGACGTTGAAATCGTTGCTTTGATGCTACTAATACAAGCAATAGTAGGGAGGCTATATAAAAAGCACTTCTTATTCAAGGTTAGGAGTTCCTGGATTTTCTAATATGTATTGGAATTTGGAAACAAACCATTGATCTTGCAAAATTACATAACGACCACTAGTATCTTAAGAACTTGTGGTTTTTGGTTAATAGTCTGTGAAGTATGATGATCTTTATGTATATCAATTGGATGGAGTAATACAGTTTTACTTGCAAAGAGGAAAATCTTTGAGGAGAACCATTTATAACTCTTCCCTTGTGGTGTATTAGAGAACCTTTGGAGAGAAGGTAAGCAAGTTCGATATCTAATCATTTGTTTTCTTGTCGTTTGCTTATGTTTTATGCATAACAGGATGTCATTGCATGCAACGTGATAAATCCTGATCACATTGATGTGGAATTTAACTCCATTGGAGGGTTAGATTCCATCAAGCAAGCACTATATGAATTGGTCATATTACCTCTACGTAGGCCTGAGCTCTTTTCTTACGGGAAGCTCCTTGGTCCCCAGAAAGGTGTTTTGTTGTATGGCCCACCTGGTACAGGGAAGACTATGCTTGCAAAAGCTATTGCGAAAGAGTCTGGAGCAGTTTTCATCAATGTGAGAATATCAGATCTGATGAGCAAATGGTTTGGAGACGCACAAAAACTTGGTGAGTGTTCAAACATCATTGTTTTTTCAAGAGTGTAGATCTTTTGTGCAGGGTTTAGTGATTATAAGTTTTGGTTTCTTAAGAGTGAAAACTTAAGAAGCTTTTGCTATGTATTTATTATGAAGGTGACATGTATGCATTCCAATACGATAGAAATCTTCAAGTAGATCTATAGATGCTTGAAAGATAATTCATTCATTCTGTTTGGAACTAATGGAGAGAGTTTTAGAGTAGACAAATGCTGAAATTGGAAAAAGGAGCCATACGAGGATAGAGTTTGATTGATTGTTTATGTGGTTGATCAAAATGCATTCCATGCACTTCCAGAAAATACTAGCATGACTTGTGCCTGTGGTAACTTGATTATTGTAATTCTAGAAACTATTAGCATGACTTGTGATTTCTTTCGCCTCTATATTCTTTGTCTTTTGGGGTTTTTTACAAGCAGGTAATAGTATTAATAGAAATGGAGAAAACAATACAGAAGAAAAATGGGTACCTTACCCAAAAGGTTGGTCTAAAGATGTATTCTGCCTGGACCCTGACTACAATCTATAAATTCCATTTGTTGTTGGGAATAGTTTCGTTCCCCAAACAGCCGGGGATCAAGATCTAAGGAGTTTTAGCAACCACCTTTACTGTGCAGTTTTCTGGTCCTTCTTTTACTTCTTTGGAAACAAACAAATGAAAAGTAGGTCTACCTGTGTTCAATTTTGGTAAGAATATTCATCGTCTACAAAGGAGTGTCTCTGGTAGGCGGGGTTCATGTTGAGACATATAAACGATGAGCTCCTTAGATCTGGTAGGGAAGTAAACAATGTTGGATAAAGGAGGAACAAGAGTTTTTTTGGAGAAGGATAGGAAGCTTAAAGCATGAGTAAGCAGGTTGATGTGTTAACACATTATCGACTGCTTGTGTAGTTATTATTTCACATTTTCACTCTTGTTGGTTGATGTTTTTATCATATTGCATCTAGTTGCCTTTTAGTAGTGCACACCACTGTTTTAAAAAATGCCAGAGGCGTCAAGGCGCACCTCAGGGCGATTCGGCCAAAAACGTTTATGAGGCGCCACCTCTGAGAGACCAGATTGTACGTGCACCTTGATGGGTGGGCCGGTGGGCTGGTCCAGAGGTGTGGATCTTTTCTCCTTCATAAATAACCTTCCCTTTTTAAAACTAAAAGAACCCTAGTATTATTTCACATTTTCACTCTTGTTGGTTGATGTTTTTATCATATTGCATCTAGTTGCCTTTTAGTGGTGCACACCACTGTTTTAAAAATGGCAGAGGCATCAAGGCGCACCTCAGGGCGATTCGGCCAAAAACGTTTATGAGGTGCCGCCTCTGAGAGACCAGATTGTGCGTGCACCTTGATGGGTGGGCCGGTGGGCTGGTCCAGAGGCGTGGGTCTTTTCTCCTTCATAAATAACCTTCCCTTTTTAAAACTAAAAGAACCCTAGTATTATTATGGAAACAGAATCGATATATGAAACCCAGGCACTTATTCTTCTGCCTAGATCAATTCAAAACCAAACCAGTAAATTAATAAGGCTTTTTCGACTTCTATTGCTTCTTCTCTCCAAGACTCCACCGAACAGTCAGCGATTGCTTCTTTGCTATTCTCTCCAACGATTTCTCTGTTTCTTATGTATATATTAGTATATACATGCTGTTTTTATATAATCTGTTTATATGTGTGTGTATATATGCCCTGTTTTATCTACATATCTGTTATATATATATATATATATTCTGATTTATGTACATATTCTTGTGACTATGTACACACACACAGAGATATATGTATATATATATATATAAAATCTGTTTTAATATATAAATTTTGTACATGATCGGTTATATATATGTGTGTGTAAATATTCTGAATCATGGGCTTTAAAGTTTGTTTATTGTATGGAAATATGAAATATGTTTTTTTTGTCAAGTTTTACCGAATTATAGTTTTGTTGTTTTACTTTTTGGGGCTCACGCCTTGACCCCCTTGAGGCTTATGTGTCACGTATGACGTACCTAAGAGGAAAACGCCTCGAGGCTCGTTTCCGCTCTTTAAAACCTCGGTGCACATAATATTGTTTCTATCCCAAGCTTTCCCTTTTCCCTTTGCAAAGTGTTCACTCATAGTGATGGTTGATTTTTGCAGTTGCTGCTGTATTTAGTTTGGCATACAAGCTCCAGCCTGCCATAATATTTATCGATGAGGTCGATAGTTTTCTTGGTCAGCGCCGAACTACGGACCATGAAGCGTTAACCAATATGAAGACCGAGTTTATGGCTCTATGGGATGGTTTTACCACAGACCGTAAGTTTTCTTTTGATAACCAAGATAATATCTATATCAGAATTCAGACCCCTGTAGCCTTCTAGTCTTTTTTCTGATAAAGGTGTTTATATTTTGGTTGTAGAGAATGCTCGAGTGATGGTTCTTGCTGCAACCAATCGTCCTTCAGAACTTGATGAAGCAATACTCAGACGCCTTCCGCAGGCATTTGAAATCGGGATACCTGACCGCAAAGAAAGGGCTCAGATATTGAAGGTGATTTTAAAGGGTGAGAGAGTAGAAGACAACATTGACCTTGACTACGTAGCTGCCATGTGTGAAGGTTATACAGGCTCAGATCTTCTGGAGCTCTGCAAGCAAGCAGCCTATTTTCCCATCAGGGATCTACTAGATGATGAGAAGAAGGGAAAGTCATCACATGTAAGTATCTCTCTGTCTCTTGTACTTGTCACAACTAAGTTAATTGGAGGACAGAATCGAGCATGCTAGATCATGTTTCAGTCTACTTTGTTCACAAAACCAAACCAAACAAACCCAATATATCTCACCTGGAGTGGGGTCTGGGGAGGTACGATGTACACGGACCTGACCTCTACCTCAGAGTTTTGATGAAACCCGGTTTGTGAAAAGTGTGATGAAAAGAGAGACATAAGAAAAAAGTTTCAATGATACTTGCATCGGATATTAGAGTTCTCTAGGCTTGTAGGGAAAATGTGTCGGGTCTGTTTGTTAGTAGCTTAATGGGACTCGGCTTATGTGGTAAGCTGTAAATGATTGTTTGGTAGTGGCTTAATGATATAGAAAGTAGCTTATTCAATAACCTAGGGGGAGCTTTATGTAGAAAACCAAGTTTCCATGTATGAAAAACTGAAACAAAAACTTTTTCAATCATACAGACAGATTAATCCACACAGACAACATTATTCATATGAATAAAAGACTTAATGGAAAACCAACCCAACAGCTTCTTATTCTGTTATGTTTCTTATTCAGTGGCCAAGACCATTATCACAAGCAGATCTAGAGAAGGTGGTTGTGACATCCAAAAAGACGAGGGTTGCAGCTAGTGAATACAGTGGTTTGGGTTCACAACCAGAGGTATGGTCAGGGCCAAGGCAAACAGATGATTATCAAGTTCAAGCTGCCATCAGCGAGCTTTCCAAAATTGTCGTCTCTCAGTTTCTGAATATCAGATCAGCAGATAGCCAAGATCGTGAAGATAATTGATAGGTCAAGATTCAGATATCCTAGGTTTCCTCTCCCAATTTTGAATAGTAACGATTTTACGTCATTATTATGTGCCAATAGCCTCAGGTGAAATGGAATGGGAAATTTGACTAACTTATCCCATGATATGTTTATGCAAAAAGTGGTGCTACAATACGATATTAGTATGCAACTTTAAGAGCTAAGTTCTGTTGGGATCGAACGCTGTATCAGTTCAATAACAGAATTATGTGATGGATGTAACTATTTGATTTGGGTTAAGATGTGATTGTTGATGTTTTATTTAACTTTTGTAGTCATAACTGGGATTTGAGATGAAAGAGGCGATGGTGTATAGAGACTTCTTGGCTGCTTCTTGTGTACTGGTGCATGCTTGAGTCTCGGAAGTCGGAAGTAGAGTGACTGAATCATATAAATTGTTACCCACCACAGCCATCAATCCTTCGACTGACCACCTCCACAATTTTTTGGTAACCGGTGGGTTTTGGAGTCAATTTACATGTACCGACTAATCCCTAGACGTACATGAATGATTGGGAGTTATCATAAATGAGCTTCCATGACTATAAGGAACTTTTTGGCATCTAGAGGGGAGAGGACTTTTGCTTACCCGCTAAGTATTCAATAAACATTTGGTGAGGATGATTATATACCAAACATTCAATCACATGAGCATTATGGATTGGGTCCCACAAAATTAATATTGATCATTATGGTATCGGTTTTGATTTCTAATTCTCCATTTTAAAGAAAATTTAAAGAATATGTTGAAAACGCAGTAACTAAACAAATAATTTAATTAAGTTTTAATTACTTTGAGAATTGTATTCCTCAATTGTGAAAAAAATAATACGTGTAGATGTAGTGGCCAGTTCTCACTATGAGTTCACAGCCCTTTTCAATTGCTTCAAGAGTATCATGCTGATATAAAACGATTATTTGCTTCTAGTGAGTAAAATCTGCTTACCCAATAACATTTAGCCATTTTAACAACTACATACATGACCTTTGATCCATATGAAACAATAAGTCGTTTTAGAGTTAATAATCAATGCTTTTATCTTTAACCCTTGGACCTTGTTTTTATTTATTTATTTATTATTATTAGATTAATAGCAATTTATCGGTTGTCATATTACTAAAAAGTTATATACATTTTTTTATTAGATTTACAATAACATAATAAATCCCTATCAAACAAATCAATTTTTTCAACATCGTTTTGACATTTATGTTTTAGAATAGTAAAAAATTCATATTTTTTCATTTACAATTTTACTCCAAACTAACAATATCATTAAATAATCATTTAAGTTGTGATGTACTCGGTTAAACTTCACAAGGATGTAGTGAAATCTCATATCTGAATCTAGACACTCTCATATCCCTTCGTGGACATGGATGTTTCTGTTGACTCCGGGCCGTTCGGAGTCATTCGTGAACCTGGTCGGGTCACATAAACTGATATAGAAACCAATAGTTACAAAAAAAGTATCTTCACACATGTAACAATATATATATCTTACCAAAGGGTCTTTGCTTAACGGTATCGGAGCCTTTAGCTTTGCAGGAGGAAAATGGTTCAAACCCACCAAAGACGATGATAGTGTGTGCGTTTATTTGCTACATTTGTTGTATATAAATATTATATACTTTAAAAACCAATTTGTATCTTCATAGTAAATAAAAATTTAGAGTATCTCCAATAATTTTTTTTAGAAATTTGGAAAAAATTTACTCCAATTGTTATATTAAACTCTCCTTTAAAATAGAGAAAGAAAAAAAGACACAAATATAATATACATGCTATAGATGCTCTTATAACGTGACATCTTACCTATTTATATTTACTTTATAGGATACCTGTTAGAGGGATAGGGTTATGATGAGAAACGTGAAAAGATTAAATCAATCATAATTGGATGTCAACACTAATGAGATGCATCAAGATATATCGGATCAATTCTCCTCTAAAATATAATTCATAGAGGGATATGAGATTAAAGGGTAAGAACTTTGGTATTTTTATTTAAGGTCAATGGTCCAGTTTCACCCTTTGTGTATATAATAAGTTGGTTTTGTATCTTTCTGGATATTTAAAGAATGAATAATTATTAGGAGACATGAAGGACAAGCATAATTTCGTTAGATTAAGTATAAACAAATCAGTAGAAATATGACACAAGCACACGTTTATAGACCAATCAAACATTCCACCACCATATTCATCCATGTACGTTCCCAGCTTCTTCACACCCCCCACTCTTGACTTGGATCTATCTTCCTTCACATGTATGTTTTACTAATTTTATAATCATATCTTTTTCTTGACTTGTTGAATCTTTCCATCTTCAAAAACATTCTTATGATCCTATAAATTCAATTCCTAAAAGCAGCAGCAGCATCATCATATCCTCAATCCTCTCTCTCTCTCTCTCTCTCACAATTAATACTTGAATTCAGTCGCCATCTTTTGAATCAAATCGATATCATTGTGTTGTGCTGTTCATATTTGGGGGTGTTGTAGATCCTACAATCATTATGTTTCTTGCAACTTTAGTTGTATTTTTGGTGGGGGTGATTGGTTTCTGGTTGGTTCCTAGGGTATTATCACGGACGTCCGTAGGACACTTCTTACAGAATAAGTGGAGATTTTTGGAGGAAGGTTTTCATGGGCACCAGTTGTACAAAATCCCTAGATTCAACCAACACATGCAGGAAAATCAAGTTTATCGCAAAGTTTTCGTCTATCTTAATTCACTACCTTCAGCGGAAGATTCCGATTTTGTTAATCTATTCTCAGGTAATAGCAAACCTAACGAGATTAATCTCGTGATCGATGCTGCACATGATCAGATCTTTTCAGATACGTACCTTGGTTCACGAATTTTCTGGAAGTTCGACAAGGATTGTTTGGTTTTGAAGATGAGGAAGAAAGAAAAACGTAGAATTCTCTCTTCGTACCTTCAACACATTCATAATGTTGCCGACGAAATCGAGAAGAAGACGAAGCAAACGAGGCTATACATCAACGCCGAGAACCAACCGGAGAAGAACGGACGGTGGATATCAGTACCGTTTACTCATCCAGCAACAATCGACACGGCGGTGCTAGATTCCGATCTCAAAAACAAGATCAAGTCCGATTTAGAATCGTTTTTGAAGTCCGAACAGTATTACCACCGTCTCGGCCGTGTCTGGAAACGGAGTTATCTACTTTACGGTCCTTCCGGCACCGGAAAATCGAGCTTTATCGCCGGAATGGCAAACTTTCTTCACTACGACATCTATGACGTCGATTTATCCAAAGTCGCCAACGATTCCGATCTGAAATTGCTTCTACTACAGACAACGAGCAAATCCATGATCGTCGTTGAAGATTTAGACCGGTATTTGGTTGAGAAATCAACGGCTGTAAATCTATCTGGAATTCTAAATTTCATGGATGGGATCATCTCATCCTGCGGTGAAGAACGCGTGATGATCTTTACGGTCAGTAGTAAAGATCAAATTGATCCAACGGTTCTCAGGCCTGGTAGAATAGACGTTCACGTGCAGTTCCCCTTATGTGATTTCCCGGCCTTCAAAACCCTTGCCAATAGCCATTTGGGGATCAAAGAGCACAAGCTTTTCCCACAAGTTGAAGAGATTTTTCAAAGCGGTGCGAGTTTGAGCCCTGCCGAGATTGGCGAGATCATGATATTTAACCGCGGTTCACCGACCCGTGCTCTTAAAACCGTCATGAATGCGCTAAAATCAAATAGCGACACGAAGGTGACGAGTGTAGCTAGCAGCAAGATGGAGGAACCGATGAGACTGACACATAGTGTTTCGGTTGGCGGTGCACTTGGGGTGCCGTCAGGGTTGATGGGTCACGGTGGGTCAAGCGGGTTACCACCAAGATTGATGCATAGTGGGTCGGCTAGAACCGTTGAAGAATCAGGTGATTCAGGGTTCTTTCGGCGAGATAGTGTTCCGTCAGTTAAAGAATTTAGAAAATTGTATGGACTACTGAAGACCAAAAATAGTAAGAAGGAGTTCCTTGATTTCGATAGGTCAGAGAAGCAAAATTCTCGACATGAAATTGGGTTGTAAATCTGTTACGGTGCAAAGTTTTTTTTTTTAGTTTCTGCTGTAAAATTCTATATTGTTTATTAATCAACTAAATACATCAATACGATATTGTTCTTTCTATAGAGAGAGAGAAAGAAAGGGAGGCCTCACCTATCACGAGAAAAAACAAAAAAAACGCTAAAAGCAACAATACATATTCGGGTGGGGGTGAATCACATCCACCAAAAAAGAACTAACTAAAGCTCCCCCGAGGGGAAAGAAAGGAAGAAAATAGGAGGGAGAGGAGAGAGAGACCAATCAGTGGCGCTTGCTTGTTTTTTTAAAATTATCTCTTAATAACTCTGAAGTCTGATTCGTTCAAACGTTTGAGTATTAAGATTGTTTGTTTTATTTTTAAAATAAACGTTTAAAAACTCTAAATGTCTTCTAAAATTTTAAGTGATAAATATATCTTTTAATACCTATTAATCATAATCCGTCCTCTATCAAATTATTCATATTTTGGGGGTTCGAAGAGATTTATTATCAAATATATTTATCTTTTATACTTTTGTAAAAAAACTATTTATCTTTTATATTCAAATTTCAGATTTCATACGTAAAAATAAACAATCTTAGTAATCCAAACTTCGGATTTTGAAATCACCTATTATAAATCAAAAATGAAATCATGTTTTATACTTAATTATCTTTTAGAAAACAAACGCCAATTGAATGAATAAAGTACAGATTTGAATAATGGCGGACATGAATACCGGTAAAAAAAATCAACTTTGAAAATTGGTCTAAAGTTGAAAATTATGAGTCAAACTTCAAACATCTTAATGCAGTCAACAATATATGCCTAATTTCAGATTAGTTCTTTTTTTTTTTTTTGATAAATATATTATAAACTCACTATAAAGATATATCATAAAAATTTTAAAAAATTTATTGATATTAATATCAAACTAATTAATTAAAATTTTTCTTTTTTATGTATTTTTAATTTATTTTTAGTTTAATAATTAAGTATTTTGTTACACTTCAATGATTATCTTAATTATATTTTAGATTTTTTATATTTAAAATGAGATATTTATCTACTATTTGATTATGTTTATTTACAGTTAGTTACACGAATTCAAACATAAAGTTTTAATAAGCTGTACTTACGTACAATTACTTGTAATCTTGAATTTTAAATAATATATATCAATAAACAGTATTTTATGTATAAAAAATTATTTTTAATAATTTTTGTCACATGCTTTATAATATAGTGTATATATATATATATATATATATATATATAGATAGATAGAGAGAGAGAGAGAGATGCATACCAATAATAACAAATTTTCTTTAGTTGTCTTTTGGAATTGATTACAAAAAGAAGTCTCTAAATATATACTAATCATCAATCATGGTGGGAAAATTATCAATATTTTAGTGTTTTGATAGAAAAATCATTTAGAAACATTTGAAATTACGACACCATCAATAAGAGTCATCATTATATTTTCATCAATAAGTGTGTTATATATGGTTCACACTTTATTTATAAGGATAAATTTAAGGGTCATTTATTAACACAACTGAAGAAGCACCAATCAAGTGTCGTTTTAATAAGAGGTTCGGTTTGGATAAGCATTTGACTAAAAATGATTATTTACTAAGGTTATAGGTAAGTGCTGACAGAAACACGAATCGAGTTTGAAAACAACTTTTTTCTTACTGGATCAGCATCTCGATCAATATCTTTGTAGGTTAGAGTGTATTGGTATCAATATCCTTTCTAACCGAATAAGCACCTTTTACTCAATAAAAAGCAGTTGACAACTAGTAAGCAAATGCATAGTAATTATTATTATTTTATCATGCTTGTTTTTTTCCATATATTTTATTTGAAAAATAAAAATAAAAATCAAACCTGAGTACAAAAACAACTTCACTAAACCAAAAATAAATTAGATTCAGAAACAACTCCAAAATTCAATTAACCATAATTCTTATTACAGTGTAATCGAAAAAGTTTTTGTAATCTGTTGTAAACAAAAACCAAATTAAAATCATAGATAAACAAGGAAGACAATGACATACTCTAATATATTTTATTGCCATCAATGCACTACTTATAAATTATTGATGAAATATTGGGTGATAATGACAAAGTCGTCATGTTTCATCTGAAAACAAACTTGCAAATCTTTAAATAAAAAAAAAAAAAATGCAACGTGCATTAATGAAAACAAAAAAAAAGGTGAAAACAACGAAGTTTTTATCGATTATAACAAGTTTTATATTATACAAGGATTATTTTAAATCTAGGTTTTTTTCATCGAATTATATACAGTTTTTAGATTTATCATTTGATGAATTATCGTTTCTAGGGTGAATTTTCTTTTCCATCTAATTCTTTGTATGGTTTGAATGTTCATATGTACAACACATGGCATGATTTTTAACATATATGTTAATTGGGATTAAGGCCACATAAGGTTGGGAGTCTATGAAATCCAAATAGATTCAATTATCCAAACGTTTTTACTATATAACCAACATTGTTGATTACATTTTATGTTTAGGTTGACTATGTAATTAGGTTATATCAGCATTACAATTGGATTTTATGTTATCTACATTCACAATTGGAGTGTATCTAGTTATCTAGAGATGGAAGTTTGACCCAAATTGGATGGGCGATCCCTACTTCGGCGGGTAGTGAGCTGATTTCTATACATGAAAGCAGGTTCGAGACAAGATCGATATTGATACTATTCGTCCTTGATCTACAACACCCTAAGGCCTTGTTTGTTTTTTCAGAAAAAAAACTCTTATCAGCCTCTATTAGGAGGTAGGGCCATTGAGACTGTTTGTTTTTTTTTTTTCAAATTTTCAGAGACACTTATTTCCTATTATCCTCTTATCACGTAAGAGGTAAAATCAACCTCTTATTATTCTCCAAACATATAGAAACGACGTTTCTTAATCGATTAACCTTAACCGATCGTTTCTGTCAATCGATCATCGACTATCTCAATTGATATATTTTAATAGGAATTGAATATAACATTTTACCTGACAAGTGTGAACTAGGTAAAAGTCGTCACTATTACTTACCAGGTAAAACTCTTGCTCCTTCCATCACTCTTACTGGGTAAGATTTTTGCTCCTTGTTACGCTCACTCAATAAGCTAATTTGACTTGATAAACGCTTACCTAATAAACTTGTAGAAAACCATCCCTAACCCGCAACCGGACAAACAACCAAATTTAAGTTTATTGGGCTTAATGCTGATCCAATGGGCCTAAGTTGTAAAGCGCGTGAAATTCCTAACATACACGGGCCACAGAGGGCAGTTGTAGACACTGTGATCTGTCAAATGTTTTTTTTGTTAACTAAACTTTTGGTGCGTCTCCGATCTCTGCCATCGTCGTCAGCTCACGAGATCACTTCCTCAGTTCACAGATCCGGCCACCGGTTTCTTCCACCAACGTTCCGGTGAGCGTTTTCTCCCGCTTTCTTATGTGTTTTTGTATATATATCGTTCAACTCAATTACGTTTTCACAAGAGACAAGCATAAACTAAAAAAATTAGGTTTTCAAACGGAAAATTTACTTAAATTATGTTATCTTGATCGATTAGGGTTTTGGTTTATTCTACTGGCATATAATGTGTTGCAATTTCGGAATCAGACCGATTAATAGCTCTTATGCCGTATATCTTTTATTTTGTAATTGGAATTTGTTGGGAATGACACAGTCTGATTTGTTCTAGGGTTTAAGACCGAGTCAAAGTAAGACATTGGGAGTGGGAATCTATCGTTGGCGGAATGGTAACATCTTACCTAAACCTGGTTCCTTTGTTTCTGCACTACATTATTCAGATTTGTAATGGAATGGGACTTATTCCAGTCTGGTTTTTCCTTGACCAGAATTACATTTTAGGAGCTTTCAAGCCGTCTTGTAATATTTCAATCACACTTAATGATGCCAAAACTCGCAAGCAGGTGTGCACTTCTTATAGTTATGGTTCTAGATTAGATGATTAGCATACCGGTTTCAAATTGATGTATGTATTGGTTCTATTTACCTGATTTGATGATCTGTTTGATCATTATGGTCTAAATTAAATGTAATCTTCTATGTGAATGTAAGATTTCTGTATTCTAGCAACCACCGGGCATGGATTTGTAATTAATGAAATTCTGGGCTTTCATTTAACTGTATGAGTATTTCAAAGTTCATGCCATGAAGCCTAGCCTTATTTCATGTACTAGGCTGCTTTTTGGCATTTTTTGATATTCATAGCTATATGAAGTTGCTAGGGTATCCATGTTTAATTCTATGATATACTCTTGCCTGTTTAAGTATCATACTGCTGAAACATTTCACTTGTCCAATCTCCCTGTAACCTTTTACTGTTTTGTTAGACCTGTTTGTGCTTTTATAATCATGCTCTTTGCTACTTTTCTTCATTAGGTTCCGTTGAAGAAGGAAAACAGTCAGACAGCAATGGTCCCCCTTTTCCAAAGTCGAGAAAGCATTGCTGGGAAGGTATTTAGTAATATTTTTGTTTTAAAGTTGACTACTTAACTTAAGTGATCATGCTGCAGGGTGTGCAATGTTACAAACTTGTTTCTCTATATATAGGCTAGTGAATGTAACACTTCATATTTACTTGTGTACCATCACATTCAGATTTCCGTAGAACCAGTGCAAGGGAAGAAGGTTGAACATAATGGTATTAAAATAGAACTCCTCGGTCAGATTGGTGAGTTTTCTACTTACAATTTTAACATATCTGCTTCTATCTTTATTTTTGTCTGGACCATCTGATGATCAGACTTATCTGAATATAAATCCATCACTTTGTTGGTACCGGCACAATTCTACCTTTACTAGAAGATATCAGTCACATTGCATAAATAACATGTTTGTTAACAGCTGCTACACGGGCTTTAGACTTGGTGTTCTCAACATTATGTTGATTTGATTTTCCTGTTTACTTTTAACCCGTTTGTCTGTTTCTTGAGCAGTTTACGATTCGGATCCTGTTAATATGTTGATTTATTATTTCCTTCTGCAGAAATTTATTTTGACAGAGGCAACTTTTATGATTTCACCTCTCTTGGTAAGTCCGTTCGACTAAGATTAACTTTGTTTGTTACATGTCCATGATGAAACGACAATTTTTGTCTTGGTTTTTTGCATTGTTAAATCAACAATATTAGTAATTTATTTATGATTTACTTTACACCAACTTTTCCTCTCTGATATATATATATACACACACACACACACATTCTCTTTTTCAATCCATTATTTAATATTTTACCATTTATTATGTAGTTCGTGAACTGGATGTTCCTGGTGAAATATATGAAAGGAAAACATTTCCTTTTGAATTTTCCACGGTTGAAATGCCGTATGAGACATACAATGGTGTGAATGTGCGACTTAGGTAAGTCTCTCTTATCCAAGTTAAAATGACAAAAAAGCGTTAACCATAAAAATGATGCACACGTGCTGCATTGTCACTAAGGTGTTGGTCGCCGGGGGGGGGGGGAGGGTTACTGTTTTGGTACTCCATAATCAGGCAAAGATATCATTAACATATTCTTCAAGTTCTCTGCTCCTCTATGAGAAATAATGATTTTTTTATTCTCCTCTTTTTCCACCTTGGTTGGAGCATGGTTGCGAGCTGATTTCTCCTTTTCTAAAACGGTTTATTCGTGGTCTATATGCTATCTACCATCAAGAGGACTCATTTGTATAGAGTTAGGGTACTATTTGAGGAACCGTGCTGATCTATTTTGTGTTTTTCAGTCTCTCATATGACACATACATACGTACATAGGATGATAGGGCTTTGAGAACGAGTGGCACAACTAACAGTATAGGCTGGCATAGAAGTGTCATTTGACAAGTTCTTACTGAAACTAAAGGGCAAATTCTATATAAGCATTAGACCAGCTATGTTGTATGGGTTGGAATGTTTGCTGACAAGGAAGGCTGATGAGAGAAAGTTAAAAGTCGTGGAAATGAGGATGCTTAGGTGGACCTGTCACCAGATCATGTTAGACAAAATCCCGAATGATGCATTTCGAGCGGAGTTGGGAGTTGCACCATCACGGATAAACTGACAATAGGGAGATTACGATGGTTTGGGTACGTTCATAGGAGACCAATGGTGCCAGCAGGGAGGAGAGTAAAAAGAGTAATGGTTAAGGGGGGTGAGGAGGGGAAGGCCGAGGAGGCCGTGGGATGAGCAACTGAGGACGAACATGTCAACCTTTCACATTTTCGAGGATACGACCTTGGATAGGATCACTTGGAGCTGGAGACGGAAGACTAGGTGTAGGGACTAGCTGGCATGGATGATCGTAATGGAATTGGAGAGTTTGAAGGTGGTTTAGTGGGGGTGGGGGTTAGAGAGGTTGTGTTTGGCCTACCTTTTCTACGATTATTTAGTACCTTACCTTACCTTTTCTTTGTTGTCAATGTATCTATTCGTTACTTTCTCTTACTCATTTTTCTCCTCCTCGGATTACTGCTAGTCATTGTTCTTTCTACCTGTATTCTCACGCTTTTGTACAAATTGAGGGTCTTCACGAAAACCACCACTATACTTTTGAGGTAGAGGACAAGCTTGGAAAATCGTTACATTTGATGTGTGCTCTTGTAACATATTCTCTATTCTTTCATAGTCAAATAGTTTTTTTGTCGTTCTGTGGTAACATCCTTTTTATGTGTCTGATTAACATTTTTTTAAACATAACTAAAATTTCCTGCACCATCTTTTCTCAGGTATGTTCTGAAGGTAACAATCAGTCGGGGATATGCTGGTAGCATAACAGAATACCAAGATTTTGTGGTGAGAATCCCTATCCTAACGCCCCCCTTCTCATGAATACACACTCTCACATGAAATGACCCTCATACATGCACTTTAAGGGATAGAGCTTGGATCTGGATTGCATTCTTGTGAACTTTTGGCATGAACATTGCATTATTGCATAGTAGTTGCATTGTTCTGGTTCTGTTACTGAAGACATATCTCAACTGAGTTTCTAGTGCTCCAGGCTATACACCTTTGCCAATATATTATATTGATTAAGGAGTCTAAGGTGGCGCTCTTTTTTTAAGAGGTGCTGAATTCTGATTTCATTTCTGATTTATAAGAGGTGGTCCTCAAGTCTGAAATCTGGATCAGTAAGATTGTTTTTACGTCCGAAGTCTGAATTTTGAATCGGTCAAACTAGTGCAAAAATATAAAAGATAAATAGTTTTTGCTAACAAATCTCTTCTAGCCCCCAAAATATGAACCATTTGATAAAAGGGGGATTAGGATCAAGAGGTATTAAGGGATACGTTTACTACTTAAAATTTCAAAGGACATTTAGAGCTTTTAATCTCTTATTTTAAAAATAAAACAAATGCTCTTAATGCCCAAACGTCTGAACGAATTAGACTTCAAAGGTATTAAGAGGTAAGTTTGAAAAAAACAAACATGCCCTAAGTATTGATGCAAAGTCAAAGTTAGGGAAAAACAATTTAGAAAACAAGTCGTAATTTAGCAACAATTATGTTTTTGTTTAAAAAACTGCTTAGTGTTGTGATTTCTGTTTTTTTTTCCTTGTGAACATAGAAATGGAAACACATTTTTGTTTTTCAAGGTCATATTTTGTTACGGACCTTTCCTATTGTAAAGTAAGAAAAACATAATTAGTATAAAAACCGTCAAGCATTCTAATAATAATAAACCATAACAAAAAACAAAAAAGCAATGGTGGTAGAATCGGAATCTGAAGACGAGTCATCTGAATCAGATGATGATATCAAAGCCTTTGCTAAGTCTCTGGCCTTGATTACAAGACAGTTCCAAAAGAAGTTCATCAAGARACCYYRTGAMCGAAGAGACTTCAAGAAGGAGAAGTACCAGTCATACCATGAGAAGAAACCATCGAAATTCTATCAGAGGAAAGATAGAAGAGAAGAAAGAGAAGAGAAGAAAGAGAAGAGAGAGAGGATAGAAGGGAGGACAAGAAAGAATGGGATGAGAGATGGTGCAACAGGAGAGAATAGTGTGGGAAGGAAAGTTGTTTAGACATTTCAATGCACTGGCAAAAGGACATGGCCAAGAGGAGGGTATTTTAGAGAGGTATAATGAGTTTAACGGAACTCACAACTTATTTCGTTAGCTATACAAGACTTTTTTGTAGTGGCTTAATGATATTGAAAGTGACTTATTCCGTAAGCCTCTAGGAGGAGCTTTATATAGAAAGCCAAGTTTTCTCTAAACCTGCTCCTCTCAATTGAAAAACACGTTTTTTCTATATATGAAAAACTCTCAATCAAAAATCCTCCTAATGTACACAGACAGATTAATCCACACAGTCAGCTTTATCTATATAGGTCTTAATGGAAAACCAACCAAACAGCCCCTTAGACTTTCTTTCTTTGGCCAGTGGAGGTAGTCTTTTATGTAGGATTGTTACATTCTTTTAATATATGTGATTGTATCCTTCAATTTTTTTTTCTTATCCATTTTAGAAGACCATGAGAAATTTGTGGCAGCTTGTCGGTGCTTCATTGTGAAAGCTGTCCTATTCATTCATTCTGAGCAACTATCGTTTTTTTTTGCAGGTTCGCAACTATAGTCCAGCTCCATCAATCAACAACAGCATCAAGGTCAGTGAGGCACCATGATATTTCAATGTATTTGTTAATCTATTTATTAGGAGATATGATTATATAGATGATCATGTTTTGTGCAATGTGATGCAAGGAATCCATTGTTATGCATATTGCTTTCTCATTCTCTGATATGTAACCCTGGCAGATGGAAGTTGGAATAGAAGACTGTCTTCATATCGAGTTTGAGTATAACAAGAGCAAGTAAGTCGAGAAGACTATGAAACTTAAGGATTTGCATATGTCCAGTCACACACACACACATATAGGTGGTTTAATTTACAGGTGGAGGTTCAAACAAGAACACCTCCATTTTACGAGAACGCGAGAACACCCTTATCAAATGTGATAATAAACGTGAGAGGAACTGGTGGTGTGCGGGCGACGTGTCCTGTGACTTAGGTCGCGCCAAAAGTCGTCTGCATTTATGATTTAATATCACACGTGATGAATTAGAATTTCACATCAAGAACACCTTTATCACATGTGATAACACACGGGAGGGGGCGTGGTGTAAGGGCGATTTGACCTGCAACGTAGATGGCACCAAAAGTTGTCCACGTCTCTGATTTATCACATTTGTATCATATGTGATTGACTATAGTAAAAAGATGTTCTCGCGTTCTCGTAAAATAAAGGTGTTCTCGTTTGAACCCTACAAACCAATCTCAACCGTTCATCTAGTTTAGTGAATATTTGAGTCAATGACTATCTCGATTGTTTCCTAATATAAAACATTGATCATAATAAATGAACTCTGATAATCTTCCATATATATCTCAGCTAATTGGTTTGTATGGTTTAGGTTTGTACTAATGGTTAGGTTTGTAAAAGATCTTTCATCTATATATATATACATATATATGTATGTATGTATGTATATGTATGTATGTATGTATAGAGGCAAGTTCAAACGAGAAGCTAAACATTTTGTGAGAAGGCGAGAAGTTTCTATATCATATATGATTGCATTGACAACACGTAGACGGTTAATCATATAATTAAAGAGTGTAATCATATATGGTATTGAAACTTCTCGCATGATCCCCTCTCTCTCTCTCTCTCTCTCTCTCTCTCTTTCTATGTGTGTATGTGTGTGTATATATAACAACAAAAAATTGACCCATCACACCCTACATGAAGTAACACTTCACCACTTCTCTCAAACCAAATCAACACAGTAAATCCCATGCAGAGGCAGGTTTTTTTTTTTTTTTTTTTTTGGGGGGGGGGGGGGGTACGTACACCTTGCTTCTATCCCAAGGGGTAGAGAGTGTTTCTATGAGGACCTTCTTGTTGTGTATATAGTCTTCATGGTGAGATTTTGTCCCATGTTGGTAGACTGATAAATTCTTCCTTAGTTTATAATCTTTAAACAACTTATAGAGTTGTTTAAGAGATCAAGTTAGCTAAGGATGGTTTGGCCTTGTGTGAATTTTACACATATTAAATGGTCAAAAGATAGCATTAGCACTATGAACGCCTGTGCGAATTCCAAAAATCAGATTTTATGTTTGGAAACAGTGTCTCACGCTAGTTTCCATGTCACGTTAGCCCTGGGACTACATTTTTTCTGACCGTTTTTGACAGTAGTTTGTTCATGATTTTTTGATTTGGATAAAGTCAAATGTTGGGTATTTCTAATTACAATCATTTGTAAACACAAACCTATTTATATGTGTAATCATTTCATCATTTTAGCTCTCTCTTAATCCTCTTCTTCTCTTCAATATAATTGTGCAGTATGTTCATGGAAGATTATTCTGTTGTTGAATATATCTTATCTGATCAGGGAATCCTGGGGGTATCATTAGCCTATAACCCTGGGGGATATTATCCCAAGGACAGTGATTCTCACGTCCTAATCATTTGATTTTGTTGCACCTATTCTTCTACTATCCTATATTCTAACACCTTCGGCTTGCAAAACAAAAATTAAAAGAAAGATATATTTTCTTCTTGTTAGAATCAAGTTAAAGAAAGATGATGTGGCTAACTGCTATGTCTATATCCATCCAGGTATCATTTGAAGGATGTAATCATCGGGAAGATATATTTTCTTCTTGTTAGAATCAAGTTAAAGAATATGGATCTCGAGATCAGAAGACGAGAATCTACTGGTTCTGGGGCCAACACCCATGTAGAGACAGAGACACTAGCAAAATTCGAGTTGATGGACGGTGCTCCTGTCAGAGGTATATATATATATATTATGTAAAATGTGTGTGTATATATATATATTAGTTTCTATCAAGTTATTTAATGATGTGAGTTGATATTATTTTGGTGTTTGCAGGTGAATCTATACCAATCAGGCTGTTCCTGAGCCCATACGAACTGACCCCCACACATCGCAATATTAACAACAAATTTAGCGTCAAGTATTATTTGAATCTGGTACTTGTTGATGAAGAAGATCGCAGGTACTTTAAGCAGCAGGAAATCACAATATATCGGACTTCAGATACTTGTTCCTGATTCACCAAACCGAAAACTCTACCAGCAGCACTGGCTTCTTTTAGACCGCATATCATTTTGTATAGGATGTGAGGTAAGTCATGTAACATAGGATTTGGAATTGCAGGTTTTAGTTGTGGGAGGGAACTCAAAAGCTTCACAAATAATGAAAACTACTGTCATTTCACGTTTCATTTTGACTCTTCATGTTATACAAAGAGTGATGGTAACCTTAATTTTGACTCTAAAAATTTTTCTCTACTCTCCAGAGGAGAGGAGCATTTATATTTTTATCCTTAGTAATGGTAACCTTAATTTTGATCAATAAGTTCTGTTTATTTATTTCCAGTTCACTGAGAACGTTTTTAAACATTTTTGTTAGTTTTTGTTAATCAAGTTATATAATCATAAGTCAGATGTTCTCTTATTTCAAAGTGTTATTAATCTTTTTGACAAAGTGAACTCCATCGTGTGAAATTTCAAATTTAGAGCACCTACAATAGGAAATTCTTCTAAACAAAAAATTGTATGTTCTTACAAGAACTATCATTGGAAGAGAGTTATTATAAGAATCTTTTTTTTTTTGAATTCTTATATAAGAATTTTGGTTCTTATCTCAAACGTGATGTGAAGTGACTTTTTATTAGTTTTTTCTATATATTTTATTGGCTTAATAATTTATTATTGATATTGAAAAAAAAATACTTGGGACAAACAAAAAGAGAACTATTGTTATAGACTTTTATCTAGATTTTTAATTTGATGACTTGAAAATAATGTGGTAAGAAAAAGTAGGTTCTCCATTGGAAATGCACCTATAATCTTAGTGTTGTAAAACCCCTCCATATTGATTCTGTCTCAATGCGTGAGAAAATAACACGAACAGATGTGTGGCAAATTGCAAGTAGATGGTGTTTGGAATGGAGGTTTAGAATCTATAATGGCAGGCTTTGGAGCTGAATAAGCTCAGCAAACATCAAATCAACACTTGTCATCTCAAGCTTTCGCTTCTTTCAACAATATGGAGTATGGAGAAACGTGATCCAATAACAATTTACCTTAAAACAGGCCATCTTTGGCATGTATTTTTTCTTTTTGTAGCTAGGTGTTAGGGGAAGAGGGCAAGAAAAAAAAACATTTTGATCATGCTAACGGCTTACGTATCTTTGGTGTAGTTCTTGTGGTTAGATGATATTTTTTTTTAATCTCCGGGTCAACTTGCACACACTCCGACTCATCACCAGTCCCAAAAAGACCTGCTGACCTACGGAGATGAGCCTAGCCTTTATTTGGCAATTGAACAGACCCCAAGGTTTTGGTTCTTAAAAGAGTGCAACAAACAAATCTAAGGGGCTATTTGGTTGATCTTTCAGTAAGTCCTGTATGAATAAAACTGTTTGTGTGGATTAATCTGTCTTTTTATAGATTGAGAAAGTTTTTGTTTGGGAGGAGTTTTTATAGATGAAATGAACATGTTTTTTAACTGGGCGGCAGGTTTGGAATTTTTTTTGGCTTTCTGCATAAAGCTCCCCTCTAAAAGCCACTTTCTATATCATTAAGCCACTACGAAACAATCATGTATAACATGTATAGCTTCCTCGCTAACAAATTGGCACTAAAACTTCTTTACATGCCTTAAGAGTAAGCATGAAGGACCAGAAGAGTAAGCATGTTATATATATGCATAATGCATCCCAAACAAATCATATCTACATAAAATAAAAGATGATATCAAATTTCATTAGCACATTACCTTTTAACATCATTTGGCGACAGCAACGCAAGTGCAGATTTGATCAAACTTTCCAACCTGCTACTCAATCCCGCAACCGTATTTACGATCGGTTCACACTCCTTCAATTTGAAGTCGTCGGCTTGTAAAATGTTAAGCTGCTTTTCTAAGTACTTCCTAAGACTAGCTTCCGCTACATTGATCAAACCGAGAGAAGAGGTTGTGTGCATGATTTTTGTAACAACTAATCCGGCTAACACCACTTGGTTGGCCTTCACAAGCTCTGATAGATAACAAGGCAACAGAACCGTTTTGAAAACCGACCAAATGTCTTTCTTATCGTCACCGTTTCTGTGCTGGAGCCTCGAGAAATGAGCTTCTTGGCAATCACGAGACAAGCTTCCGACCATATAGTTTAGATACAAGAAGGTGTTTCCGTATGAAGGTTTGGTGATGATGGTGGATATCAATCCAGAGAACAACAAAGAAACAAACAGCTCGTGGTCGTTTAAAACCGGGCCCAGTATATTTCCTTGCTTCAGTTTGTCCTCAACAGCACCTAAACACTCCAATTGTATATTCTCGTACGGAAGTAAAAGGGCGATCTTAAGAGTTATGAAGCAATCTACCTCAAGTAACGATTGGGTCAAGTTGCGAGTAGCATCCTCGTTCAATAATATCCCATTTCCTTTTGGACCAGATTGGTCGACGATTTTCAGCATGTCGTTGAATTCCGATAACGATGCTAGCTTCTTGAATATCTCTTCCCAACACTCGTGCAATACATGAACCGAAGGGGTATTATCGACATTTCTCGTTTCTTTCTTGACCGATTCTTCTTCCTGGAAGTTTTCCCATCCTTCATCCCAATCATCGTTGCCCCATTCAGATCCAGGAGTATTAGGTATTTGTTCCGAGTCTTTCATCTCCTCTACCGCACTCGTGGTAGCAAAAAACCCTTCCCACTCTCCTAATACGGCTATCAAAGCATCGATATGGGATCGTGAAACAGCATTATCAGATAGCTTTAAGAAACAAGAAGTTGCGGAATCAACAGTAGAAAGGTCGTTGGGAGTTATCTCGAGGTTTGGGGAGATGGTTGATAATAGCTGTGATGATTTAAGGGCAATCAAGGTATGTGTGAATCTGTTAGACGCATCGGTTACCCTCTGCGCTTCATGATTGGCTGCATCTTCGCTGCTTGAACTTACACTTCCCAAATTATCCCACCCATCCCACGGTACGACATTGACTTTAAGCTCGGTAGAGAAGGAGGTCGAATTCGTACCCAATCCCGTTATAAATTGCATAAGTTCCAGCATATGAACTCGAATGTTACTCGAGATCTCCAAGTTGTCAGAAAACCTGGCCAGTCGATCCCAAACCGTACTCCTAACCTTCTTCAGATCCTCGAGATCACCATCCAAGTCACTCAAACTTGATAAGACACGATATAGATACTGGTGGTCAAGAGCGCCACCGGCCAAATCCCGCAAGATAGTTTCCAAGATTCTTATATAAAGATGGGGGAGGTCCATGATATTTTCGTAATGCCGTCTAATCTCACCAGATAAAGATGGATCGGGAGAAAAATGTGAAATGGCTTCGTAATACACATACGCTATTGCCTTGAATCGACAACCTGAAAAAATCATCGATCTGCAGAAATTGAGAATTTCAGTGTACACATCACCCACAAGGCCAAAGTTGATATAAGCGAAAATAGACGCCCATCCCTCGGTCGTCGAGATCTTTCCGTCCTTCACCAATTTGACAAAAGCTTCAAGGCAGATCATCACACAGGCAGGAGAGAACTTCCCTTCTAGATCATTCGATGATACAAATTTCTGCAAATCGTCGATCAATCTGAGCCAGAAATTTAAGAGCATAAGCAGGCCATCGTTCCATTTCAAATCGTAGGAAAGACTATCGAAACTATCATTCAGAGATGGAGTTATCTTGAAAAACTTCTTCAATATCCCCATTACAGAAGCACCAGGATAAGCAATGAGTCTGATATGCTTTTTGCATCTATCGTAGGTAAGCTCTAATTCACTGATGAAGGACTGAAGGGCTTCAGGGCTCTGAAAATGGATTTCTGATTTAGCTTTACTCTCGAGAGCTGTTAATGAACTAGATACATAATATCCATACACATACGGCCACGGTACGAGACCCTCGGGAACCGTATCTCGGAAGATCCCAGTTAGGGTCTTCATCATTTCTGCCAGTGGTTCAACGTTATTTTCATTTACGTGAGCGTACACCTCGTTGGTAACACGTTCCAGGTTTGGACCACATAAACCAGCAATATTTTTGAAGTTCAGATCCTCAATGAAAGAAAGTTTACTACATTCTTGCTCCATAATCTTGTAAAAACTATCTAGCTCATCGATGCTTAAATGTTCTGGATCTGCGCCAATAACAGCCAACAACCCTTTCTTTTCTTCAACCCTTGCAAAACAAGTGGAGAGCAGCTCATATATGTAAGCAAGGCGTTCTTTATTCCGCCCATCAATTTTAGGGTACACAGATAAGGAGATCGTTTTGAAGACGTCCTTGGCACAATCGAGTATTTTGCTTTCAAATTCTGAAATTTCAGACTTGATATCATCAATGGTCCAAATCTCGGAAAGAAGGGTTGAACAAAGGAATTTCAACAACACCTGAATGTGAAGGACATGAGGGTGAAAACATTCTTTAACGACATAATTTGCATCAAGTGCCTATTTTATATATATATATATATATATATAGAGAGAGAGAGAGAGAGAGAGAGAGAAGGTTAGTGAAAACCCCCCAAAAAATGAAAAACTGATGAACACCCTAATAACCGTTCACCTCTATGGTATGCACATGTAATTGAAGATGTTTCCTGGTTCTATGCACGTGTGCATGTTATGCACATGTGTATACTGAAAAATTACTTATAAATTACTTGTAAGCACATGTGCATATCGTACAGATGAACGGTTACTAGAGTGTTCCTCAGTTTTCGTTTTTTAGGGTTTTCCCCTCAACTTGACCCTATATATAGATAGGGGCAGGTTCAAATGAGAACGCTAACTATTTAAGAAAACAAGAAAAAGGTCGTCAATGTACAAAATCTTATATGATTCACATACAAAATCATACATGATTCACACACACACACACACACACACACACATATATATATATATATATATATTCAAGTACAAAATCATACATGATTCACACACACACACACACACACACACACACACACATATATATATATATATAGATTCACGTACAAAATCATACAAGCTCAAAAGTCGTTCGCTTCTATTTTTGACGATAATGTAAAATCACATGTGATTTTGTACATTAACGACCTTTTTCTTGTTTTCTTAAATAGTTAGTGTTCCTCTCTCTCTCTCTCTCTCTCAATATATATATATATATATATATAGCGGAGATATTTGCATACCTTGGTTTGATCTAAGCCATAGTCCGAAGCTAATTTCAAAACATCTTTCAGGATTCTCTTTTTCTCTGTTTTTACCGACTCGACAAAGGAGAAAATTACACTCTCCATATAGTCGAGGTCTCCAGAGAGAAAACGTGCTGTTTCAATACCAGGAATGATTTGCTCAATTGCTCTCGTATGATCAGCCACTCGCTTTTGTTCCTCTAATTTCACTTTCCATTCTCTCCAAAATGAGGACTGTGCTTGGTCAATTTTGTTGCGTTCATCTACGTTCAAAATAGTGACATCAAAAATGGCGAACTGACAGATCATAAACAGTTCACTTGCAGCATAAATATGCAGATTTTTTAGTAAAAGATAAGTTTCAAGAACATATAAGAATATGCATTGTAATATATCAATATTTCAGAGTTACCTGAACTTAGTGAAGTGTATTTCTGTTGGAACTTTCGTAGCAGCAATTCTCTCCTTTGAGCAGGACCCTCACACTCAGCACCTGAGTTGTGCAGCAGACTATAAATCATTCCAAGATTCATCATGCTACATATTTCATTGTAGTCTACCCTTGATCGCACTTGTTCTTCTATTATTTGTACACCATAGAAGGCATCATTAAGATTTAGTAAGAACGAGCACCCTAGAATGTCTTCCTCTTCTGTAACAGGTGGTTCCATAATTGATTTTGCAAGAGAGGCAATCAGATTGTCCCTAGGAGAGAAGTTATTTCTTGCCAACCACGATAAAATAATTGCCATTGCTTGCGTTCCAACACTCATGTGCAGCCTCCCAGAAACCGATCCAGCAACAAACTTTTTACCATTTTCCTCTGCTTCACCCAGTTCAAGTAACCATGGAAGGCGTAAACCCACAAAGACCAAAATTTTACCATTTTCTCTGAGCAGAGAATCGTAATCAGAATCCTTTTCTGAAGATAGGAAGTTCGCTACATCAGAGAGCCTCTTTTTTATGGTACTGAAATACGCTTTTTGTTCTACATTAAGATTTGCATTGATCTGGCCTGATGAATCGATTAGGTCAACTATATCATGAGTATTGTGCATTGGATCGGGGGTGAAGGAACCATTTCCTGATAATTCTGGAACATCTTTTCCGGTCAGCATAGACAATTTTTCACATTGGCTTAGCATATCTAGATCTTTCCATGCATGTAAAAGCTCGCCGATTGAATCCTTATCGCAATGACTCAAAGAAAAACCTAGAAGTTGCTTCCGAGAGCTAATATCCATGTTTTCAAGGGCAGGACCTCTTGCCAGTGCAGCACACAAATCCCAAACAGGACCATGCCCCTTCTTTGCCATAATAAGACATAGATCAAAAGCAAGTCGAAGATCTCCAGCAACTGCTGCTTCTCTTGCAATAGCCTCTTGAACGGCTGATATCTCATCCTGAGACTTGAGTCCTAGAAGCTTGGCTATTTCAATAAGTTCATCAACATTAAGATAAGCCCCACCTTGACTGGTGATGGCCAATTTGATGATTTCCATTGGGTCCTTGATTTGCCTAAATTGCATTGGCAGAATGTTCACCCCCAATCGTGGGAGTTTAACTGTAAGTGCATCAATAATATCTGCCTCTAGCATAACATTTCTACTGCTTGGAAGAATATTCAGACATTCCTTAGCTTTCCGGATCTGAAACAAGTTCCAAAAGCTTGATTAATTTTAAAGCTACAGGAAACCACACATAAGTTCGAAGAAGCAACAATTGTATCAGTATCATCATGCATAATAGAACCATAGAAGACAATAACCATGATTTTCCCACAATAGCAAAATAATGTGGCAAGTGTTTACTTACTTCTGAGCAAGATAGACTCGAAGCTGAGAAAAAATACTCTCTTGCTGCCAGAATGATGATATTTTCAGCCTTCTCAGTTGGCAAAACCAGCGAACCAGAGCCTTTCAGATAGTTTCGAGCAAGTGAGAATTTCCCAGCTTTTAGCAGTCCCCGGCAGAACTCCATCAACATGTATTCTAAATCCACAAAAGAAAATGCCTTTTCTTGCAGGGACTGAAAATCTCGCCACATATTTGCCCAGTCATTATCCGTTCGACCAGGTTGTCGGCGGATAAACTTTGAAAGTATAAGACGAAGAATTTGTTTCACGCTCTTGCTATCCGATTGTGCCTCAAGGAAGAAAGCAATTGGCTTCGGGACCTGAACATATAAAAGTAACGTCATAAATGAAACTCTCCACCATGCATTTTCACTATGGCTTGCAACTAGCTCACATCCAGTTTATGCATTTCTAGCTCATTCTTATGATCCATCAGATGATACCTCATGAAAAGGTAAATTTACACACAGAACACTTGACAGAGAGTTTCGAGAGGAAGGCTCTAAAATGTTCTCCATTCATCCCATGAAAATTGCAGTGCTTTGACTTGGAGCGTAGCTTAAGGATATTGTTTGACTGAAGGGAAAATAAAGTAGTCTTGTGGACCCAATCAATACCATAAATCTGTTTATAAAATGATAATTTCAACATAAAAACTTATCGAAAAAGGAAATGTTAACATTTGCATTAGGCATCCCAAGACGAGAAGTGTTGCAATTTTCATGGAATGAAGAAAGCATGTACTACCAAAGGGCCATTAGCACTATCTGGGTTACTGCACCCTCCATGAGGCAAGGGGTTCAAACCTCCCCAAAGGTGAAGAGGGTGCATGAGTATTTGCCATATATATACTAAAAAAAGCATATACCGGTAATCACAAATAAACTAACTTAAAAAGAATCCCTTAACTATATGTAAGGACAAAATGAAAACTAGCAAGAATTACAAGTAGACCAACAAGGTGTCAGCTGATTGAGAACATCATGATTTAAAACGAGATTCTCGAGAACGCATGCAATACTCAATGTGAATGAAGATAAATCAATAAAGAGGTCACGTGATGGTAACAGTACAACTGCCACATGTCAGGCCATCATGAGTAGAGTACGAAGAGAACTATGATCTGCCTAAGCTGAAAACTGACAATCGCCATAGAACATAAATGCATACCTGGTACACCATCAAAAGCCTTCCAGCCTCAACATGACCTTCTGCAAGTTTAAGTCGCTTTTTGAGGTCTTCTACTTCAGAACCTGTCCAAATGAAATATTGTTAACTAGTTCAAGAATGCACATTGAGGAACAAAGAATATGTATAAACCAGTAGCACATGAAGTCAAAGATTCAGGGAAAATTTCATCAACCACAAAAAACCTTGATTGTCAAAAACCAGCAACAGATAGATACAAGATTGTGTCTGGTCTAGACAGTCGAGGCCTCAATGAAACGGTGGGACAGATTGATATAAGGTAAGAAAGATACATTAATACATTAATCAGATTCTTGCAATGACCAAGTCCTCTCTGGCATTTCGATCTCTAAATCCCTGTTTGTTTACGAACCACAGAATGGTTCAATCACTTATTCATATATCTTTTTCATTAAGGTGTCTCTCTCCATTGAATGAATCTTGATAGTCTAGTTTGACTCTTAATGAATCATACATACTGGTATTCTTAACTTTTTTTAAAACTCCATCACTCCAAACACTTGTTCCTTCATTTTTATCGAACACCTAAGACTTTTTCCCAGTCAATTGTGGCTCTGCTAAATGCTTTCAATCCATTTGTTTCCATGCCTAGTGTCACAAACTTATTATTCCCTAGGCCCTTGCAGCCTTAACAATTTATTTCCAATTGCACTAAGAAATTCTTGCAAAAGGGAACACTAATAATATGGAGAAGTAGAGAACACTCAAAGAACAAGAGGGGAACACTTGATAGTTTATTGCTTTATGTTTCTCAACTCCCAACTTGGTGATTACATATGAGAAGCTCTCCCCTTTTATAGGGAGCTCCACCATTCCATGGAATAATGAAGACCAATGAAGCTTCTAGGTTCTTCTACACTACTCAAGGTTGATGGAACTTCTACATGTCACACGAGTAGTCTACTACAGCATGGAGAACACTATATTATTCTAAAGAATTTATTAGATGATATCTTCTAGGCAAGCCTCTCAGAACATACTTGGTGTCAAACTCGAAGAACCCGTTTCCAAACTCGAAGAACCTGGGTCATGACTCCAAAGTTTTGCCATCTTTGGGTCAGGTTTACACAGGCTGACACAAAACCTCATAATTGCAGCAACCCAACTGCAAGAACAGAGCTTGCCAATTACAAAAGCAACAAATGCTTCCCTTATAATCTAGTCTTGTTAACGTTATAATAACCAACTTCAGCAATATAGGAGTGGAAGATTTCATTTTCGTATTACTTATATGTTCACATTGGTCCATCATGAATATCTATTATCAACAGAATGAGTAGGTTCAGAGTTGTAAGCAGGTAGCTCTTCTGCAAATTTAAGCATTCAATCTACTACAGCAAACCCAACAAGCAGAAAGAAAACAAATTCAACAAAGAGATTGCTAATGTAAAAAAACAACGATGAGGGGTTTTCATTTGTTAGCTATCCTATGATAAGTCCATGTATGAAAACGCATACCATGCAAATGTGGAAGTTTAGACAATATTGAGGCCATGGTACTCCACTTATCAGTAGCAGTAAGCAAATACAAACACTGAAGAGCACCGTCTACTGCTTCTGCCTCATTTCTGAAAAAGTTGCTTCCACCAAACTCCTTGCACCCCTCTTCAATAACAATCAAGCAGACCTCGATCTTATTCTCCGTAGCAACTTCTTTCATCCATTTAACCAAAAATGAATCAGCCGGTACATCAGCCACTTCATCCCTACAAGGAAGGGCCACAATGCCAATTTTTTTCTGCATAAATGGTACTGCTCTATCTTGTAATCTTTTTATAACATTTTCCTCATTGAACCCCTTAAGCATCAACTTGAACTTTTCATAGTCAGATAACTGTTCCCAGGTAGTTAGGCTCATGCTAAAATTCATATCATGATCATCCCCAGCAGAGTAAACAAGATGGTGCAAATACAAAATAAGCTCGTGGAACTGTTGCAATTCTTTTATACCCTTGCGGCAAGCAAAGTCAACCAAAGATAAGCAGTTGTCTAGCTGCCCACTTAGGGTGTCCATATCTCTAGCTCTATGTTTGTACCAGATAGATAGTTCATCAGTAGATGGCCATGTAAATCCCATTAACCGCTTCACAATTGGTTCAGTTCTGACCTGAATGCGACTCTCATGATTCTCTGGGAGTGTTTTGATGAAACTTACCATCCTTTCACATTCAACCCAGTCTTCTTCTCTTAGAGCAGTAACCTGAGGAGGAGAACATCCAGGAAGCAGCTGTCCATATGTCTGTATGGGGACTGTCTCAGGGATAGCAGCTAAAACTTCAAGCATGCAAGGAGATACTGAATAAGGATGGCGCTTGAAAAGAAGATTTAAAGCTCCAATTTTCCCACTTTCCGCAAGTGCATAAGCCGCTTCATTGATGGGCAATGATCGAAATTTGCTGTAATCCTGCGCAGAAAACCTGAAAGAGGCTAAGTCAAAGTGTTCTAGTCAGGTGAGTTTGGTAAATATATTCGTGTTGGCAATCAAAAGGGAAAAGGGAAGAACAATAATGAAGTAAAAACACCAGAATCACATAATACATTCTTGGCAGATGCTAACCGAACCATCAAGGTTAAGCAAATACTCCTTTCAAGAAATTTTATCCAAATTCATAAATGAAGCGACATAGATGTATAAAGAAAAATGGAACATATGGCATCCATTCAAGGAAAATAAAGAACTTGGTTCATTCATGAGAATATAACATAGAGCATAAAATATATGATTATGCACCATATATTATTAAGACGCAATTATGAAAAAAATCACCTTGAATTAAGATATTTCTATATAGCTTTATTACCTTCCCATGTTTATCCCAAGAAATGTCTCCAGCCTGTCTCTGAATTGCAACAGCTTAAGTCTTGCCAAACGGAAATCCCAGCTTGGGCTACCCTCTTCATCTTCCACCTCAGAGAATATGTAATGGTTTGTTAAGCGGAGACCATAAGTAAGTAAAGCCCTCACTGCTTCTTCTGTTGGTGCAACCCTTTCTAAACACTCGGAAAGTACAAAATCTTGATCCTCAATGAGTGAGAGTAACATACTAATTTCATTTACTCCATGTAAAGAATGCAACCACTGTGCTTTAAGCACTTCATTTTTGTCCAACCGATGACGATCAGCCAACTCTAATGCAGCCTGAAACTGGTGACTGCTAATTAAAATATCATACAGTTCCTCAACGGATCTTTTTGAAAATGACATCAAGCTCCATTGCAACTTAGCAGAGTCAAACTGCTTATATTTTTCCATGGTAACTGGCTCAAAGAGAAGTAAATCCGATGGTTGAAAATTCTTTTCAGATGATCTGGTTTCTAGAATAAATATGCATCCTGGCAACTTTGGTACTCGTTCTAAAATAGGCAAAGAGTATAGACAATCATTCTCCAATACCTTAACACCGCTGTGGATGTCAATCATAGAGATGTTGCCACTCCTAGTAGCAATGACAAGGATATGGTCAGTCCACCAAGTAAAATCTACTATATTGCTCAGATCCTTTTTTTGTTTGAAATAAACTGCTGAAAGCAAGCGTTCTTCATCCAGCTTATAGATGACCAAGCATCCTCTCAAATCCAATGTAGCAACAAATTCTCCTTGTGGTGAGAATAGAACCTTTGGAGATGATATTTGATCTGCATAACCTTTTGTTCTAGCATAGAGACCTTCAAACTCAGCAGAAGCCAGTTGCAGTAAGCCTGATTGTCTACACCATTGCCAAAGAGAAATACTGTAAGGTCCTGGAAGAAATGGAAAAAATGAGCAATTCATTAATATGTGGAGAACCTCTTCCTTACTTAATGAATGGTTGTTTAAAAGAGCATCTAACATCTGATTTATGGGTAAAATATAGCATCCTTAATTTCATGGCAAATGATACTCTGTAAATTCCCTCTTCTTGGTTCTGTATGGTAGAAAAGATAGGGTATTTAAGACCTAAAAGCCAGATTGGATAACAGACCACTGTGTCAACTGTCAACGACAAATCTAAGACACACCGTAGGTTAATTTGACCAAATCAGGTTTAGAACTAGTATCATCATTGTTTTCAGACAGTAGTGCATGTTCATGCTTCAGAATTTCTGAAGGTTGCTTATACTTTATGGAACAAGTAAAATGAAACCAAGAAACCACCATTTTATCATTTCAGTTTACAAAAATCATTCCTCGAGTATCTGGCAACTTGCAGGCTCACCCCTCAATATTTTCAACTAATGATGATGGTACCTCAAAACAAAAATCATCACCCAAATGGGTCATTCCGCTCATTTTCCGTGATCAAGACCCGTTAAATGGGTCATGTCACACACGTATGAAAAGAGTTCTTTTACAATTGCCACGCCATAATGAACTAATTTGTTTTCCCTTCACAGCATGCACACGGCATCTATGCATGCACGCAACACACGTTGATCCGTGTGAGTATTGAAGATGTGCTTTGTGAAGTACATCTTTTGAGGGCTGGAAAATTAACAAAAAGACTCCAGAGAAGAGATTGAAATACAACAATTAAATGGAAGGATGACAGGGATGTGTGGTTAAGAGGTGGAGGTGGCGATGGCGGTAATGTGGTGATGACGAAAATTAAGATGTGTTGAAGAAGAAGAAGAAGAAGAAGAAGATGCATGGAAAAGAAATGCCTGTTATACCCCCCCATTTAGTATGGTCTTATGCCTTGCATGGGACTACATCTAATATATTAACTTTAAATTGATATGAATGGAGGGGTCTATCCGGGGAATGTTTTACGTTTGAGAAGCTACCAGTGCTCAGATATTAATAAGATCCCAAAACCTGTAACTTGACAACTGCTTAAGGAACGATTTTTGTGATTCACTCAATCAGTTGTAAATAAGAGTAGTCTATTTCCTGTAGAACACGAAACTAAAAATAAATCAAGACAAGTTCTGAATTTTACCAATGCTAACGCTGGAGGTCGATGTGATGCTAACAGTACTACTAACAACAGCAAGCAACGAGCTATCTGGATGGTAACCACAACAAAAAACATTCTGAGGGAATTGCTTCTGTAACAATGACCCAACGTTTGAGCTGCTCATTGTGGAGATGGAGGCACTTGGGTCCTGACTAATCTCAATATCATGAACCGAACCATCTGATGCAAGTATGCTAAAGGTACACCTGTGAAGATTGTTCACTTCAAGAATTTCAAAATAATAATAACGCTAATAATTTAATTAATAAAGGATGCAAGTGACTGAACATAGCTGGTAAATTTAATTAGCTTGGGGATGGTCAGAGCTATAGTACTTACAAGCAAGACTTTGTCATATCCTTATCATCATGAATAACAAAACTGATAATCGGCAAAGGCACTTTTAAATGCTGCTTTGTAACTCTGGTTATCTCTTCACCGTTTGCTCTTATAAAATAGAGAGTATCTGTATTGTCAAAAACTCCCAAAACACCATGATTCTCTGACCAGGCTCCAAGCATGTACGTGACAGGGTGGCTGCCTAATTTCACAGAGCAAAAATGAGTGATGCCTGATGATGAGAAGAGATAACTCTATCTCAATGGTGGCAATGCAAAGTCAAGCTCTCTCTTATGAAAAAGAAAAGATACACCATTCATGTAAATAAAGGGTATTAGAGATTTAAAGTAAACTACAAGGTAGAAGAACAAATAGAACCCGAAATGACATGTTTCAAACTAATAGTCAAATATGATTTTTTGGACAAAAAAAAAAGGAAAAAAAAAATCATATTTGACTGTTAGTTTGAAGCATATGTGTGTGTTATGTGCACTCTAGAAGCATTACATTCCACGTGTTCGCAATTGCTTCAGTATTTATAAAACAAAAGGAGAGACGGTGCTGTTTCCAACACAAAAGTCATAAAATAAGCTACTAAAAACTCAAATCTCTGCTGCAGGTTGTTCAAGAAGATACTTGTTAATTGAAGACGGTAAACTGGATGCAAGTTTATAGGACAATAGCATGGCATTAGTAGAATGACAAGCATACAGACATGTTTAGAAATCTTACTAGTAAATATCCCACAAGGCTCTTGGTAATTATCATCCCTCTGTAAGATTGTAATCTCATTTCCAACTGCTATACCCACATGTTCGCCACTTGGAGATATAAACATTGATATCCATTTGCTTAACTTCTGTGGATGTCTATTTGTGGTCCATTTTTCTCTAAACTCGCTGAGGCCTTCATGGCACAACAGAAGCAACATAAGGCGTAAGAAGAGAATGATTCTCTATATTTAACCAAATTGAAAGAAGCAGAAGCTTGTCCGTAGTAGATCATATTGAGGAACTCACATCACATGTAACAAAACAAACCTATATGTAAACCATATGTGTAAAAGATAATAAAAAGAGAAAATCCGGCGACCCCACATATCCAAGGTAAGGGACAGTAACTAATCATATTTTTCACATATTAACAGCCTACGATCTTCTAGCTACGAAAGCTATAGAACCGAAGTTTGACTTTACTAATAGAAAGAAATTGTGATACATATCTCGTGATTTAAATGCAATTATGCGAGATCATAATATAGTAATATACTATTATCTCTCTTTACATCCACATTCAAACCAAATAATGGAACACTTAGACTTTCCTCCATCAAGCTACAGTGCCAATACATCTTTAACAAATAAATGAACTCCACTGATCTAAATATAAAGCATTATAACCAAAATGGTAGTAGAGAGACGAATATGCTACTCTTCATGTCCGTCCTGTCCATAATACAATAATATCACAAATATCACATTTCACCATAGTGGCATCACTGGTCTCCAATGAATGGCAAAGTCCGTTTTCTTCCATGTACCTGCTAAGACATAGTGGGAACTGCCACTTGTCCTAACATCTCAGTGCATCATTGACATACTGAAATACATAACATGCATTCCATGTTTACCTACTTTCTGGCATACATTTGGTGGTCCACACACTACAGTAGGGGGATAATGCCAAAGCCACACCCCAAGGCACCTGATATAATGATGCATCAAAGGTAGAAGCACCCCAGCTTCCAAGCAAAAATGCACATGTTAATGGAACCAGCTACAAGCTACAAAAAATATAACCAATTGGCACCACTGACACCTATCAATTCCCTTGAACCAAGTGGTTATTGGTTCGAGCCCTTTCAACGACTAAAGAAACAAAAACAACTCAAAATAGTGAAGTTACTTTGTAAGATTCCTATAGATCCAAAAATGTTCATTTCAAATTGTGTAAATGAACTTGATCCTATATTTCCAACTCCCTCTGTTCTCAACAAAAGCAACACGCTGATTTTTCAAGCCTATTATGTTATGCAAATTTTAGATCAATTCGATTCTATCCAAAGTACTTGATGTCAAGTGGAATGTAGTAAGCAAAACTTTCTCCTTAAGCTTAAAATGCATATCAATTCCTAAGTTAAAATCAACTCCTATGGCATCCAAAGTCAAAGTGCAGCTCGTTTTCCGTAACACATGGAGCAATCAGGATTTCAATTAATACACCGGCAAATCAAATACTACATAATCAGCCAATTTAAATTCCTAAAAGCAATTAAGAAAAAGAGATGAGGATCGAAATGTACCTTGCGTGGAAAGAAACCTGAGGAGACTTCCTTTAGTGCCTTCATTTAGCTAGAATTTCAATCAAAACATCGATTATAATTGCTAAACTGTGAAAATTAAAGCATGATCATGAAGTCATAAATAATGATCGAATAGATAAAGCAAATTGAACCTGATGATGAATAGGAGGGTAATTGGAAGAGTAAGGTCTAGAAGCGTGACGACGAGTCTCGTAGAGAACTTGAGAAACGCTTCTTCCTTGTTCCTGAATCTCCATTGTTAGACGATATGGACAACTTGCTACTGCTACTGCTGCTACTTCTGCTCTACAGAAACAAAATCTGGTGGTTTCCCGCAGGAGATCTCACAAAGAAAAACGCTGTACGGAACACGAAGAGGATTCCATTGAAATACAAAACAAAACCGGGTCGTGCCTTGAGATGAAACCGTTTTGGGTTTTCCCCCTTTCACAGGCCATGAAGTGTCGACCCAAATGCCAAAACTGGGCTCAGACCCGACCCACTGGCCTAACGTGGCCCATCATGCTATACTCCGGTCCGGTTTCAAATCATTTTTTATTTTTTCCATATAAATTTGAGTAACTACGTTTTTAGTCCCTGTGATTTGTTAGAAGTTGCAAATTTTTTCGTTCCTATTCATGTTATTTTTGTTCTTATGATTTATAATTTAATGGATTGGATGTGTTACGAAAGATGGGGTAAAGTCATTATTTTTAAAATTCAATAAGCAACTTAAAGTCACATGTCTAAACGCTATATTTCTTTCCCTAAAATATCTATATTATTGGTATATATTTTAGAGTAAACTCTAATTTTAGTCTTTCAGGTTCAGTAAAAAGTTTGAAAATGATATGACCAAAATTATAGTTTGTTTAAATTTTATAATTTTTTGAATTCGTCATCCTAATCTTATAGAAAGTTGAGATGACATTTTTTAGTCGTAATTTATTTAAAATTGAATAAAAATTACCAATACATGTTATTTTATAATAATTTGTACGGCTAGGCCATATTATTTGTTTTTAGATCATAAGTATTTTTATTAAAGTTCGTCGGTTAGAACCAATTTTAAAATTAGATGTGGAACTATAAATCTAGTCCTTGTCGTTTGTTGTTTGTAACACTCTTGGTCCCTACAGTTTTAAAATTATAGATTCATCATTGCGATGCGAAAAAGAAATGATTGGATTTGATCTCTGGCTTTAACGACCGTAAAAAGGATTCGTTAAGTAAGAGGTATTTCCGATTTCGGTCTCTGTACACTTTTATCTCATTTTCATTTATTAAATAAATAACTATGTAAATTACATATTACAAAGACTAAAATGAAATTTTCTGTAATATATCATGACCTATAGTCAACTCCAATGCCTTCTTAGTCCCCTCAACCCAACGCTGGTCACTTGCTTCGTCCTCGCACCCCAACTGTCGGTCGCCTACTTCGTCCCCTCACCCAACCATCGGTCACCTTCTCTAGAAGAATATGGTTGGAGCACAAAAGCACCACCCAACGACACCAACACTCCAACAGGTTCCACGACGACTCTATCGAAGATGTGGTATGGATTTGGAGAAAGACAAATAACGATGAACCCTCTGTGATGAATCCATCGGACTACACTCCAATCCCCACGTGAGTACCTCTCCCCTGGTCGATCCCTAGTCCTCAGTCCTTATGCTGGTGTGCATTCTTTCTCTTCATCTCCCCATTTGCACCTAGACAACCAGATCTGCAACCTCTAATCCCGCCCCCCTCCTCCCAACTTGCACCTCCTTTGAACAAAATCTAATCTCTTCTCTCTTTCATATATATATATATATTTTTTTTTATGATTTTAGATTAGGGTTTTTGATTTTGATTCAAATTAGGATTTTTGAGTTAGCTAATATTATTTGAGTTTTTAGTTGGATTTTGAGGCTTCAATTTGTGTTTTTGGTTTGATTTAGAAGTTTGGCTTTGGGTTTTTTGTTTAATTTTAAGGTATGGAAATGAGTTTTTTGTTTGATTTTGACTTTTAGTGTGGGATTGTAACGAGGTTTCGGCCGGAGAATATGATCCAAGTTAGTTCACCGTCGACATAGGTTAAGCGGTTGATCGAGAACTTTGAGGGAAATTGGTGGACACATGGCACACTTTAAACTGGTCCAATTAAAGGACTTTTAGTTTAATGCCAAAAAAATTAAAAGAGACGGAAATACTCTCACTTAACAGGTTTTTCTAACGGTTGTTAGAGTCGGAAGCAAATCTGATCTTTTTTGTATACCATAACGACGAATCTTTAATTTTGAAAATGTAGAAATTATAAGTGTTACAAATAGAGACCAAATTTATAGTTTACTCAAAATTATAATTCCAAAGAGTGAATAAAGGGCAAAAAAAAACACACATGGGAATTGGGAAATGTAGTTAAAGTGGTTGGATGCTTAAATTTCATATGAATACGTGGGATATCGCTTACACCCTCGTTTATTTTTCCAAAATCTATATGTCAGAAGATAAAACGTTTATTCCATCGCCACATCAATAATTAAAAAATAAAATCGAAATTACCATTTTAACAAAATAAACCAATAACCTATCAAAAAAGTCATCCAAAGTTTTAATTGTTTGCAAGGGATATTTGACATTTGTTTAATGATTTGGTACATAATAATTAAGAGACTTTTATAGTATAATGTAACATGAAATATAATTGTTTGATAATTATTTAAAATGAAAAATAGGGTGTGAAATGATCAAAGAAGACTCAATATACAAAATCATTCAGATGGTTTAGAACTATTAAGAAACAGATTTTTTTTTTACCAAACAAGATTTATCTCTTAACAATTCAGAGACCAACCCTTAATATAACTATTAAGAAGTAAACTACATAACAAAATATAATTGTTTGAAAGTTAATTCATAAAACAAAAAAATCAATTTTATTCAGATACACTTTACATATTATATGTACACAATATATTAGTTTGAGGCGGCTAAGCTTTTGATTATATAAAAAAATAGTTTTCTCATCTTTAAAAACATCTCTAAAGGTCATATTATTTCAACAATTATGGGAACTTAAAAAAGTTTGCTCCTAGGGTTTAGGGTTTAACTCAACCTTAAAAACCCAAAAACTATTCAAACTAAGATAACTGACATATAGTTGATATAAAATTAGATTAAATTATTATCTAGTGGGTTAAGATTATTTAACGATAACCCAACAAGATAAACTTGATGTCTTTTTATACCATGAATTTAATATGATTCTTAAGTCATTGATTAATATATTTACATTAGATGTTAAATCGATCAATATGTAATTAGATACATTCAAAATTACATTACAATTTCAATCGTGTTTTTATTTTTTATCTGCATTAACCCTCAACTTTCTTTTTTTGAGTTTGTTAGTCTTTTTTGTATATTTATCACTTTGATTTTAGTTCTTTTAAATACAAACAGGTGGCTAAATTGTAAAATAATGTATTAAAATTTCAACTCGGCCAACTTAACACAACCCGCATGGTTTGGGTCGTGAGATATAGTTTTACTTGAGTTGGATTGGTTGATATTTTTTTCAAAACGTAACAACATAAGTTGAGTTATTTAAATGTCTTCAAGCAAACCGATCTAAACCATGTATAACCCTATATATAATGAGAAATTGATAATAAGAAACAATATTTGAATCTTGAAAACGTTAAACAGAAACATAAATCTTTTTTAGTGCTCTGAAAAGTGTGATACTAAATTGTAGGGGTGTCATCTTAAGTTGTCCCATCAGTCTTTTTTTGCCTTCTGTGATTCAAATTATCTAGATCTGGAGGGAGATGAGCGCAAAAAAGCCTCTTCCGGATGTTGATCTATATACATTGAGATTGATGAGACTCGGGAACAGAGGTCATTTCTTTAGCAAACCAAATCGTAAGGGCAGTCTAATGAATTTAAGATGAAGTGATTAATGTTGTTTTTTGACATTTCAGCAACCCATTTTAGTAACATATGAATTTAATCTTAACAACTCATTTTTTACATAATTGAACTGACAACCTAACTGAATTGTTATATATATATATATATATATATATATATATATATATATATGTTCAGATTTAGAGAAAAACTCTATATAAATGAAAAACTGGAAAATCACGAAAAAACAATTAAAAAGAATATATTAATATGGATTCAAATTAAAGAAAAAATTATGAACGTTTTTTTGGTGTAACTTATTTTGCTTGAATTTTGTCTATTTTTCGTCTTTTTGCAAATAAAAATTGGTGGGGGTTGAGGATTTCTAATTAAAAAACAATATTATTAATGACATCTATTAGATCATCTTGTCTAGCGGTTGATAAGATGTTTTTTAGTTTTTCATTAAGGTTCAGGAGAAAACCTAAAATAATTGAAAAACTAAAAAAATACATCTTATCAACCGTTAGATTAAATAATCTAATGAATGTAATTAATTGAGAGGGTATATTATTAATATTTTAATTAAAAAATCGTATCCCCTAATTTTTATAACTGACCGAATAAACCACAAGACTTATACATCTCATTAAACCGGAAACCAACATCCTCCATGTGCTCTTCACCGAACTTGCAATATATGAAAGTTCAATCATATATAAACGTGTGTGTGAGAGAGAGAAAGAGCTAGCGTTCAAATCGATAGATTACTTGACAATTAAAAAAAGTAATTTACAATAAAATTAAATATTTAAGAATCTTTATACTTTCCTTATTAAACTTGTATGCTTTGTTCTATTTCTCTATGTATTTCGGAATCGTTTTAAATATTTTTTAAGTGTTAATTTTTATTGTTTTACTTAAAAAATACATAGATTTTGGATATATTTTATTTTAAAGGACAAGATTTAAAACAAAAATAAAAATGAAACATTCATTTTTGACATAAAACATAGAAATGCATCGAAGAAATTTGACTCTTTTCAACAGTTTTTACATCAAAATAATACAAAATACAATATTTTATATTAAAAATACCTTGAATAAAACCATGCAATGGTTTACATAGCTTAATGATTAAGATTCTTGAATTTTCTGAACAAGGAACGTCCGTGTAATTTCATTTATGTGATCTCTTATACTAATTTAAATGAATTTACCTCAATTAAGCCTCCTGTCTCTAAAAATTAAACTAATACATAAAAAATGATATCTAACCCGTTCCAGTTCCATGAATACGTTGTCGCCCGTACGTAAACGTAGGTATTAGGTAACACCAATGCGCTTGCAAAACACGTGACAGATGATTCCAAAATTGACCACGTTCTATATGGAGGGAATCTATTACCTTTGTAGATCAGAATTCTATTGCTAGGGAGGGACAAAACCTTTTTAATTATCTCAAAAACCAACCTATAATTAAACTAATCAAATATTCCCTTTCCATGACCAATTCCATCCTAAACGACAAAACCATGTTTCTTATATTAATAATTAATAGCACAACTTGTTCAAAAAAGAAAAAAGAATAGTTTAGAATTTGTATCCTCATATTCATTTATCTTGTAAATATATACATACATTTTTACATTTGAAACTTCACAGTAAAACGTTGTGAAGGTAACATTCACAGCAAAAACACTGTGAAGGTTACCTTCACAACATTTTGCTGTGAAGTTTTAAGTATAAAAAAATGGTCTCACGTGAATCCAACTATGTATATATATAAATCATTTATGTGTTAAACAAGTATTACGTACTAATAAATAAAACATTAAATTACACACTTACATGTTCTTTTTGTTAATCATGGGTTTCCGCATCAACTTGTACGCACCTTGATTTAGAAAAATTCTTAGTGGTCTTGCAAGATTTGAATATGTGAGCTCTGAGAAGATTCTCCAAAGTTCTAAAACCAATCAACAATTCAACTAATAATTAGATGAGTGAAACACATGCCCAACATCGTCGCTAACACACCTGTTCGGCTAGATATTGTCCACTTCGTCCATACTAAAATTAAGGTTTTAAAATGCATCTAATAGATGTTGTATCCATTCCCTTATAAAACAACTTTTGTTTCCCTCTACAACCGATGTGGTATCTTTCATACTAGCAAGTTGCATAGAGTGTGCGGGCTCATCTCTCCCACTCCTCCCATCCGTGAAGGTGAGGAGGGAGAAAAAACATAACTCCCCGGTCTCATAGGTTACCTTTCGATCTTCCCCCCCGTGACGCTCCCAAATCGATCGCTATCCTTTTCTTGCTACTAAAATTGACAATGTTGAGGTTAAAAATGAACTAAAGTTAACCACTAAAACGATTAAGTGGGGGACAATAAAACTTGGGATTTACCTGCTATTAAGGGGATGTTGCTTTATTGTTTTAAAATCAAGAATTATGATCATTTCATACTAATACTAATAAATAATAATCAAATAAACAAATAATTTAAGGTTTTAATGTGATCTTGTACTTCTTTTTTAAATAAATTTGTTTGGATAACATAACACTTCAGGTTAACCGTTCAGATATCATTTGTTTTTGTTCGTATTTGAACTCACGTCTGGTAGAGAAGGTATCTAGTTTCTTATAAGTCTACTAGTTATTGTCCACACCTGGAATCACAATTTTGAAACACTTCTAGTACAATAGGTATGCAATTTGTTACAAGATAAAATTAGTTCTGCTCCTCAACCGATGTAGAATCTTACAAATAACTCGATAACCATTGCACATTTTCCAAAATTCAGCTATTTTTACTTTAAAATTAATATAAAGTTAAAAAAAATCATATTTCTTTAACATTATAAAAATGATTTTCGTTTTGCAGCAAATCAAAAATACCATAAAACAAAACAACTGATATATTTTCCTAAAAATTTGTGCATTATTATAAACATAACAGTTACCGGCTGTCAAAATTTATGATGGCTTACACATAACAAAAAACCTAGAGATAAGAATTTAGAAATCATGAAAATAGCGTAATTGTAACAATATATCTTATATAGATAAAAAAAAAATGAGTTACGAAAACTTCTGATAAACTTCAAGTCGTAGGTTATCAATAATTTTCACCATTATTATAAGTTAAATTTGAAATTGTTAGATCAACAAAATGATTGATGTATTAATTTGTCAAAAATTGGTCAGGTCAAGTTGACCTTTTATCACTTATTTAAATATCTAAACAGATAATATATTAAATATTATTAAAAACAATGTTAAACTATTTTTTAATCTAATAATTATAAATATTTGGTACAACTTTCAGAACACTTGTTTGATTTTTAATAAATTTTAAATCTTATCCATTAAAAATAAAATATAAGCAAAACCTAAATGTGTATATAAATAATTAAAATAGCAAAAAGATTATAGTGATGATTCCAAAATACAGAGACAAATGGAATAAAGGCTACAAGCCTAATATGGAAAACATTAAGATTCTTTAAACCTTTAACTTTAACGTAAATTACTCTTTTTCGATTAAAAAGAAATCTGTCATAGATCAATGACTACCGCTACCAACACATGTATCTACAGTTGCAATTTTATGTTTCATTGTTTGTCATGTGTCCCAATTTTTTTTAAGGGTTATGCTTTGATTAATCTTCTATTGTATGAATCAACAATGCGGTAATATTTCATTCATGTAATTCTTTGAAAATCAAAATAAATTTCCGTTTATTTGAGATTTGATTAACGTTAGAGAATATAAAATGTCATCTATACCATTTTTATTAAATATTTATTAAAATCAATGATTTGATGAAATACGTGAGTGATATTATTTCTTATATTTTCTAAATTCGACCGGCTTCTCGCATCTCTCTCTGTATAATAGACAATGCCATCAAGGAGTATTAAAAGGTCTTCAATAAAATAATTAAAAATGGAAAATATGTATATAATGTAGATTCGCATATCTTTTAAGCATGACCATTGATTGTTGAATTTTCAATATATATATAATATTATTTTGGCATCTTCTTCTTTTTGATTGGCTGTAATATATCAATCAAACGTTCGAATGAAGGCCATAATTTTGTCTATAAGATGGACCAAGAACCACCTCCTCAATTATAGAAAGTTACTTCTTGATTAGAGGAGAAACATGACAACCAAGTGCCGTGACAGAGAAATAGACATGGCGTGGTATTGCGTCGGTTCATCAAGTGTAACGTCTGTATACATTCTGCAATCGTCTACAGATGAGCCGAACCAATATCACTCTTGTATGTTTCTTTGTGGAAAAAATATTGTTTCTTTCTTGTTTACAGAAGTGAGCGGTGTGAGCAAATTACTGTTGCATGTCCTTCCGGTGTTCGAAAAGAATAAAGCCTTTCAACACAATCTTTCTCTTGTCATTTATACAGAAATAACTACTTCATGGTTGGACTCATTAATGCATTTGTTTTCTTCTTCTTGTAGATCATCCGACTGATATGTAAGTTTGCAACAAAATAATCCAGGTACGTATGCATAAGATTCAAGGTGGGCATGTTTGCAAGTGTATTTTATCGGGTTTACAATATCTTATGAACAAGTTATTGTATGAAAAATAAAAGGTTTTATGTTGATACATATCTTGGTTGTAAATTACAGGTTTGCTACTGCCTGTACAATGAGTTAGGTGTCTATATAGAAATGGCACTAAGAAGAAGTCAAAATAACCAGCCGTGTAATGTTTGACGAATTCAACTTTGATTTCGAGTTACTTATTTCTTATAAGCAATCAAACTTTATGGTTTGTTAAAAAGTACAAGAGATGAAAATAGTAAAGAGTTGTAAACCACATGGACGAAAATTACAATAAATTATAGTGATAGAAATAGCAATGGTTTGCTAACTACTAGGACGAAAATCACAATTTCTAAAACATACGCACAAAAATCAACCCAACTTACTCATTGGTCCCTTTTAAGAGTGTTTGAGATTGCTTATTTAAAGTGTTCATTAATTTATTTCATTGTGGTACCGGTAATAAATAGTTTTTAATGTTTGGGTTAAAAAAAAATATATATATATATTTATACCGGTTTGATACCTGTGATAATGAGTTTTTGATAAGTTACTCCCTTATAACTTATTAACTTATTATGGTGTGGTACCGGTAATAAGGAGTTTTTAGTGTTTTGATGGAAAAAAAATATTTATCAACTTATTACGTTTTTTGTAATGTCATAAGTGAATTCAAACACTTTTTATAAAAGTGTGGTTTAATACCATAAAAAACAATTATCTTATTTTATTTATAACGAATTGACGACTTTAGAAGGGTAAATAAAAACACCCCTTGGTGATTATTGGCTATTGACTTTGGTACGTTGAACGTTATGTTAATTCAACGTCAATAACAACTCAAATGGATGAGAAAAAAAATTAAATTTACATATAGCATCCACATAGTTCTTATAAATAGCAATATAGACCCTCGAAATTTGATACATTTTATTCTCTTCCTCACAAAAAATGCAAATATAATAAAGATTTATATGACCCGGGGATTGAAATGATATTAGATACTTTGTATCTGTAGTCTTGCAGGTTACCCAAGACTGTAGATATAATTTATGTTAATTCTGTAACTTTAAGTAAGGTATACTTTTCTATATGTTTTGTTAAGCTGTGATAATTTTTTTATTGTGAGCTAAATGAGACATAACTGAAATTAGGAGTGGGACATATGACATCTGCTCTAGCATCAACGATGGTTTAATATTAAGAATTCACTTTAAATAATCATGCCTTTGCAACACTACCAACCATTATCAGAAAGGGTGATAAGAAGGTTCGTAGCTATAGCCCAAGGTCGCCTTAAAGATTGGTATTTGAGTCTTGAAGAATATCGACAAATGCAAACTCAACAATCCCAGTGGGTAACCAACTATGAACATTCTTTTCTAAAAAAAAAATCCTTCATGTGATTGTTCTTATGAAATTTATAAATAGATGGACAAACGAGTGAAATTTCTTGTCACATGAGTAGCAACTTGTATGAATGGTGTAACGATTTTCCGGCTATATACAACATGGACTCAAAATCTAATATAATTAAGTGGCCATTTGACCATTTCTTACGAATCTTAAGCCAATTAATAAGCCAACTCTTGAATTTTGATGTTGTTTGCTAACAACCCCCGACTTTCCGGTCACTTTTTTTTTTTTTGTATAACTTACAAGTTACAACGAGAACAACTAAAAATATAGGTTTAGTTTTCTTTTTGGTATTATTGTCTTGTCTTTCAAAAAACAAAAATATTTTAATTTAAAAAGTTTACTTATTTGATTTAATAATATAATTTTCGTATAAACGAAGTAATTTTTTATTTGATTTAATAATATAATTTTCGTATAAACGAAGTAATTTTTTTAATTTAGGTTTAATAACGAAGTAATTTTTATTTG